GAACGGAAGACCTAATAATAATAACTAGACTCTTGTTGCCATGGCAACAAAAAAGTCTTCCGTTCTTCTAAATCTGTGAGAATTTGCTTTTTTTCTGTGTAAAAAACATACATATCATATTTACTGTGAAAGAAAAAAAAACTGGGAAAAAAGTCCTTTCAGTACTTAAGGTACTTTGATTTTCATTATCAATCTTGTATAATACATTTGGCACCTATAAGAGATATAAGTATATCATTACCAATTTAAAAAAAAAATTGTTTGCAATCATTTCTAAGACAAACAAACTGACGAACGAACAGCGTACTATCATAAACTTCACTGTGTGTATGTCTTGGCATAATTGTGTTGGTGTTATAAAAAAATATAATGAATTAAGTTAGTATAACATTAAACGTAAAGTCACTGAGTTTTGTAAAGTTATATCAAGATTTGACAGCATACCTATAAGACAGATTATTCAATTACAGTAATTCTTCAGCAATCAATTGATTGAGTGATTGATTATACGTATGTTGTTTAACGTCCCTCTCCAGAATTTTTCACTCACATGGAGACGCCACAACTCGCCGGTGGAAACTGCAAATTTTTGTCCTCTGCTTTGGCACTTATCGCAATTGAGCAGTGAGGAATCTTTTTTATGCCAGCACCTTCTGCGACAAGGGACCTCGATTTATACAATCTCATCCAAAGGAACGGTCTCCACGTCCCACAATCCAAGTTCATAATACCGAGATATTTTATTTTTTATTTTATTCTATTTTTTTCACAAGTTTGTTGCATCAGATTTACTTAAAGATCATACTTCAAGATCATTTCGAACTCAGGCTACTTAACTGCAGTGCATACAGCGTCAAGTGATTTTGATTGACAGATCAACACACATGCACTTCGTGTGATACTTTTTAAGCTGAAAAATATACAGGATGTGACCATGACTGACTATGAAATCAGAAAACATTTAATAAAGAATGGGTGTGACCGATATAGAACTAATTTTTGGTCTATGTAAATGGATAGGAGGATCGGGATTAAGAGGGAATCTCTCTCTCTTTTTTTTCTCTCTCTCTCTCTCTGACGTAAATTGAACATTTCATAATGACAAAGCTACCATTATAGAATATGAAATTCTGTATACATGTAAATGGTAATTATATTCACATGTTCCAGATTTAAATCTAAAACGAATATATAATTCAAAAGCCTAGCTGCACGAATGTCTCCAAATATTAATCAAAACGGGGGGGGGGGGGGGGGGGGGGGGGGGAGGAGGAGGCTTCAAAGGAATTAGATAGTTTTATGTTTTATGAATTATAAGGAAAAGTACGGACGTCAGTTGCATGTACATAATTAAATATCATTGCATAAAATTGTGTTCATTCAGGTATACTTATCCCACATATCAACACACCTGTGCAATTTTTTTTATCATGGTTTTTTTTCAAAAGAAACATATAGCGTACCATTATTTCACACAGAATCGCGTTTTCACATGTTTTTTTTAAACTCTTTGAGTATTTCACAAGAATCCAAGAATCGTCTTTTCACATCTTTTATAATTCCTTGGGTATATAGAGTATAGATCCTGTGTCATAAATAATTTAACTTTTTATCAAATATACATGTAATAACTAAATCTAATCTATAGATTGATTTTCTTTCTTTTAAGTGGCAGATATCATTTATTTATAAAGACTTTAAAACAGTACTGTATTACAATTTTAAATCGCTCAATTCCTTTTTGAATGTATGTAATATTTTTTAATATCGGAAATAAAACTCGGAAATCGGGATAATTTCGCATTCAAATCATAGAGAATAATAAATCGTCTACATTATAGAAGGCTTATAACTATCGTATTCTGAACTTACTATACGAGATAGATAAAATTGCATGCCTGTCCATCACTATAAATGTATATTCAGTGCTCATAATATATTTACTTGAATTAGGTACCTAGCATATATATTAATTTTTTTTTTTTTTAGATATATTCATGTGTAAATAAATTAACTGTCAATACAGACTAACACTACACTGGCAACTTTAAACTATACATGCACTGGAAGCGGTAACCAATGTACTCTTACATTTAGAAGAGTGCATATGGAACGTCTAAATATTTTTGATATGGAGAGTGTATATGTCTCTGACGTCATCGATACTATTTCCGCCTTTATCTCGAAAGTTCTATTCTCACTTACAAGTCAGAGTTATCCTTCTTTGCCCATTGTATACACACTAGGTAAATGGGGAAAATGACGGTACCTAAAATCTAGAAAATGTGCAATCCAATTTTAAAACAAATTATATATTTCGTATTTGTAGAATAACCTCTGTTATACATAATAATATCTTAAAAAAATATTAAAACACAAAAAAGTTGAAAATTGACCAAACACAAGTTCACTTCCGGTTCGGACAGGAAGTACCGGAAACACACGAAAACAACTTCGAAACAAAGAGAATGTCATGATCTAATACTCCTGTAAATTTCACATCTTTACCTCAAACCGTTTCCGAGAAAAATTCCGGACAAAAGTCCATTTAAAAATTGGAAATTCGGCCGTAACTTCGGACCGGAAGTGAATTTTTCAAAAAACGGAATTTTATATAAACTTCATATATCAGCCTACTATCATGTGAAAAATTGTGAAAATCTATCCAACCATCTCTGAGTAATCGCGCTCACAAAATTTGGGAGGAATAATAATAATAATAATAAAAAGAAACAATACAATCACTATAAGTCTTCCGTTGTGAACGGAAGACTTAATAATAAAAAGAAACAATACAAACACTATAAGTCTTCCGTTGTGAACGGAAGACTTAATAATAATAAAAAGAAACAATACAATCACTATAAGTCTTCCGTTGTGAACGGAAGACTTAATAAAAAGAAACAATACAAACACTATAAGTCTTCCGTTGTGAACGGAAGACTTAATAATAATAAGAAACCGAGTAAAAACAATATGTTCCCAAACTTCGTTTGGGGAACATAATTACCATTCTTCATTTAGTTACCAATTATAGAGCGAATAATGTCATCAAACAATTCCAAAACCATTTTGGATTTCTTCTTTAAATAAAAAATGTATTTCCTGCAATGACCAAAAGCAAAAATAGAGTTCCAAAAAAGGAATAGAATTAATGCGGATTCCCTATTTTATTTTAAATTTATGAATTTAATAGGTCATCAAGATTCTAAAATCTCCCTTTTATTTAAAAGAAATTAACAAACAAACAAAATTAGAAAATTACAGGTAAAATATAATCTATAATATATCCAAAGGTTTGAGATATTGTAGGTAAAATAAATCAAGGAAAAGTGACTTTCAAATGAATTTTAACAGATTGTCCACAAGTAAAAATGACTTTCAAAGTATTTTCAACTTAGCTCCAGGAGTGAAGGACAGTGTTCAAAATTCAGAATTATTTTCTATGGAACCAATGGTCTACATGAGTCCTTCCAAGGCCTTAAAATTACCATCAAAATTATAAATTGTTTTCAAACTTTTATTGATCTCCATGAATATACTACAATGTTTTATGTGTTCAGGTGAAATGAGAGTATCAGTCACAGCTCATATGAATTAACAATTTGAAAAATTAAAATTGAAAGGTCATAACAGAGTTTGTCTTGATCACATAACCATTTTAAAATGTATTCATATTGTTTCTTAAAACATGTATGAAAAGCACAATTGATATAAAATTGATAAAAATAACTTACCTATCTCAAATCTAATGTTCAATGGTGAATTTATAATCAATATTTCCAATTAAAATGCAGGGAAGATAAACAATGTAATTTAAATGCATAAACCATTATACATTATAAACTTTTGTTTCCTGGCAAATCATCATTGGCCTAAAATTATGAGAAGGACCCATTTAGTGATACTATTTGTGTTTCTTTCTATTTGTATGTTGGCTCGATCAGGACAGATGTTAATTTTAAACACCAGCAAACACGAAGGGGCCATGAATTTCACAGTTATGGTACAGGGTCCATCACTTATTACAGTCATGCCACCATATTAACTAAAGAACACAGCACTGGAATACTGCATTAATTTTGGGGGGTTTTGTTAAAATTGGTTCTGCTGTTCCATAAAAGAAGCTGAAAATGTTCAAAAGTTTACAACTACACTCTGCTTTTGAAGAATTGTGTCATCCTTGTTATTTGACCAGTACACAGTACATTTGATTCTCCAGCTTGTTATCTTCTTGGAATCATTACTTAAAAATCATTACTCAATTATTTTAAACATTATAGCCTTAAACTTACTAAGGAAATATACCTGTTTATATAAAGCACTTTGGTAACAATGGTCTTCACTGAATCGTACAAAAGTAAAAAAGTATATATTCAAACTGATCAATAATTCAACTATTTTTTATGCACTTGTCCACAAGCATTAAGTAAGTTACAAACTCTTAAGATATTACTGATCCTTTGAGAACTTTCACTATTAGGACATGTTTTGTGGTAGGGACCACACCAATGATGCTTCTGACAATGAGGGCTCTGACAAGTTTTAGGATGTTTAAGAGAAAACAAGTACCTGGTAACTAAAAGAAACGGGAGAGGGGGGGGGGGGCTCTAAGCTAACAGCAACACATGTCAACAACTTTCAAATTTCCTCTCAGCCATTTCCGACCATGAATTAAAAACCTTTCCTGTATTGACATACAAATAATTCTACACGATATATTGCAACTAGGTCAAATAGTGTCTGGTCTATGTGTTAATTATGCTTTCAAATACACAGCACCTTGCTTTTAGGAATGTTACTATATATACTTACTGCATCAAATTACTGTGTGATTTACCTTACACAAGCAGCTACTCTTGCTGAATAAATGTTTCAACATTAATTCCTTACAATTATCACCTCAGATATTGGTGTCCATCTATATATATATCACGCGGTATGTGTAGACTAACAAGAGCTGTCACACATATTCTGTACACGTACATTTGGACACTTACCTCTTACTATCTATCCAGTTTGTTTATCTACGTCTTACCCGGTCTTTGAATAAAATCTATTTGATTCGCTTCCCTTCGTTGACTTCATTCAACATCGAAACACGTGTTACTCGGAATTCCTCGGGCTTGACGATTCCCGCCAAAAGTCAACGAAGATGATATTAAAATCGGTCGCAAAAATGTTTAAATTAACATTTTTAAATACCATTTCCACAAGAAAGGGTTAAAAAATCTTTTTCTTTCAAAGTAGAAAAAAGTATGTTTAACATTTTTTCTGTACACTAAACATACCTATCAGTGCATATTTAATATTTTAAAAATATTGAATTAAAACATGAATATATATGAAAATCGGGGATAAAGAAAGGATTATCATCAAAATATTTGCTATAAGATCAAGAAGACAAATATTAAAACATGTACACCCAAAGTAAATAATCATGAATATCTCAAATGAAATATGAAGATAGCGAACAGTATTCAGTCTCGAAAGTCCAATGAAACAATACAAATTTGGAGCAGAGCAAACACGGACATTTAGAGGTGGGATCAGGTGCCATGGAGGAGTGAGAATCCCCTGCCGACCTTTTTTTTTTATTAATTTCTCTCAGACCATACAATGGTATATGAGGTACATGAACATATTTACATATATTCAAAATACAGTCAAGTAAGGAAGAGTAGTATCCAAAAAAAGTATTACCGGGGTACTGAAAAAAAGGCCAATATCTTTTTAACAAACAAAGACAGCTTTATAAGTGAATCAACATTTGTGATGGACATAATATTCTTAAACTTATAAATATTTGCATGAAAACAATACTTCTTTTCAATAAGTTTCATACATAATGAGGAAAAATATGGACACTCCATTACATAATGGAATTCATCACCTAAAGTATTTTTATTACATATACATCTGTCAGTATTAGTCCATCTACCAGCTTCGATTGGAAGTTTGTGGTTACAGATTTTAAATTTTGTTAATATAATTCTTCAATCTTTCGGGAATTTACTTAGGTACATTTCTCGTCCAAAATTGTTTTTAAAAATCCTGTAATTTAAACATTTAGATGGATTGTCTATGCTCATACGCCAGTCTTGTAAAAATTGACTTTACAATGTTTCTTTCACAATAGATTTTAATCATGTAATACTAAAAAAAATTGTCACACTGTCGTGTGCTCCTTGTTATGATTGGGGGGAAAAAAAACGGAAAAACAGTGTATAATTAATGGCCTAACAATTAGTATGAAAAACGTCGGTCAGCATTTGACTCAATGATAAGTTGTATTTGCTGACAATAATTATATCGACCATAAAACTTGCGAAATGATGACTTCAAACGAGGCTGTTGATATCCTTGTTTCATCAATTTCTTTGTCAATAGCTTGCTTCGTTTTAGAAATTGTTCATAGCATGCTCTTGCGTATCGAATCAACTGAGAGACATAAATCCCATATGCAGGTGATAAGGGTATATTGCTACATAAGGGAAGTTGACGATTGAAAAGTTGAGGTCATCACATTTATCATAAAGCTTTAATTGTTAGGTTACCATTAACGTCTTTTTCTAGTGTCGACATATGAATGAAAATAACTCTTGATCGTAAACTTTTTCTATTGCTGATTTCCCTGAAATCTTTGCATCGTGATGATGCCAATGGTTTGGTGAGATAGATATTTTAATAAATGTGAAGTGTAAAAGTATTATCACTCTTAAATTTGCAGCTGCAGCGTATTTAAAACAAAATTAACTGATCGTACTTATGCTGGGGGGGGGGGGGTGTTCTGAGAATTATGTTCTTTTGCTATAGCTTTAATATACATTTTTATTTCGATGCTGCTTGGCCCCATTCCCCACTTTTTGCTGCTGTGCGGTGAAAATTAGTGAAAATGTGCCGAAAAGTTAGAGAAAGGCCCACTCTACCCCCCCCCCCTTTAAACCCGTTGCTACGAGCCTTTTTTTCGGGTTATCAAGCCTTTCCAAAAGGCGTAATAACGCCTTTTTTCGTTATTACGCCTCTTCGAAAGGCGTTATAATGCCTTTTATTTTTTTTCTCCATAGATTGATCCCAATAGGATCAATTTATGGAGAAAAAAAATTTAAGGCGTTATAAAGCCTTTCGAATAAGTAAGGGGTGCCCCGTATACGAAACAAGTGTCTGTGTTTGCTGACCATGTTTTAAAAATTCATGTCAAATTTGAAAATATTTGTTCTCTCCTCTTGGAAAAAAAGCAGGCAAACTTACGAAAGACTATTAGGATCAATTTATGGAGAGAAAAAAATTAAAATGTTATATAACGCCTTTCGAAAAGGCGTGTGTACCCCTGCAATTTTATTAAATTATTGACATAAAGAGTGAAGAATTCTCTGAATCTCAATATTATTTCCCCCAAAAAAATATCCAACTCATTCATCGTCCCTCAATAGGGAAACGGATTTTGTACATTTTTGCATTCGGACATTTTTCCTTCATCATAGTCTCCTGATATTCTGGTCTATTCTACCCTATTGCACCAATCCCTCCTCTCCCTCCCCAAGTCTGAAAAAAATCTATATCACTTAATAACAATAGAGGATTATTTTTCTATGAAGAAAAGACAAGTTATATTTATTTATTATCATTTTATCTGGAATTTTCTGCGGCGAGAATTTCATAAGTGAAGTTTCGTCTTTTACTTATCTGTCGAGTCTTCTTGTTTAAAATAACATGACATCTGCTAGGTATTCGAGAATAAATCAAGTACAAAAAAAATCAGCTAAAGGACAATACCCTTTAAATATATATATTGACTTTTTGTTTTTATGAAGACAAGGCGCATGCCATCGATACATGTGTAACTATTGAGGTGGACGAACTTTATTTTGATAATGTACGATCAAATTCCCAGATATATATTACAATATAATGCTGTACGACATACGTACAGGGGCGGATCTCCAGGGGGTGAGTAGTTTGGAACCCCCCCCCCCCCCTGGAATCTTCAGAGAAAAAATTCAAAATATCTGACCTGGACCCTCATGGGAAAAAAAATCATGGATCCGCCCCTGACGTTCTCTGAAATAAAGATGTGCTGAATATATATTTTTATGTCTATCCATTTATATCTGGTGTTAGCTAGGGCAGGGCTCTATAGATTATAAAGTGATAATGCATAAATTCTTCAAAAATTTTCTTCACTCCCCTATCTGTATATTAAGCAGACAAACTAAGTGCAAAGATATGATGAGCAAGGGTGCCTCTGCCAAAATTATGAAATTCATAGCTCCAGGGTTAGGATTTCTGGTGTTAGGGCAGGGCTCTACTGATCATACAGAGAAAATGCATTATTCTTTGAAAATCATTATTGTATATTATCCAATACCCCCATAATTGAAGATGTGAGGGAATATAGACTTTGGCCTGTCTGTTTGTCCCCCAAAAAGTTTAACTTCAGTCATAAATTATGAATGGTTGGTGCTAGGGCTTTCATATTTCACACATGTTTTCCTTGTGACTAGACCTATCTTTGAATACCAACAAGTTTTGACCTCATGACCTCTGAGTTTTTCTTATTTTTGTAGAACTCTTATCCTTGACCACAACTTTTCAAATGGTTGGTGCTAGGGCTTTCATTTATCACTTGTGTATTTCCCATGACAGACCTTTCTTTGGGTACTAACAATTTTTACCTCCTGACATTGACCTTGGGGTTTGATTGACCTTTGTAAAATTTTAACCTTGGTCAAAACTTTTGAATAGTTCATTCAATGGCTTTCATAATTCACTTGTGTATTTTTTATGACAATTCTTATCATTTTTAACTTTATGACCTTGACCATAGTGCTTGACCTACTTTTAAAGAAGATTAACTTGGTCATAACTTCTAAATGGTTGGTGCTAGGGCTTTCTTATTTCACATGTGCATTCATTGTGACAAGACTTTTATTTGGGTACCAACATTTTTGGCCACATAACCTAGACCTAGGATTTTGACCTACTTTGAAACACTTAAATCTTAGTTATGAGCTGTCATACAGGGACACCAGTGTTTCTCAAGAATATATTTTTTTTTCTGTTTTGGGGATAATGATGATAACACTGTAGATGACAATGTAGATAGCACTAGCACACAAAGGCAAGTTTCTGAGTTGTTGAACTACTAGTAGTTGATTACTAGACTATCTTTTTTGGTGATCTTTGATCATCTTATTTCTCTTCTTTTTGAGTTTCAATTTATTTTTGTTGTAATATTATTATTTACCATTCCATGGATCCTTTACAGGGTTGTATTATACCCATATGATTGTTATGGTCCTTAGACATCTATTACTTAGTTACAACAAAACACTGTTCATTTACAACATTGAAATTATAAATCGAGTAATTTGTTCTAAAAGTGGAATAGATTATCAGATTTTATACATCTGTAAAAGCAAATTAAAAGTTGAAACCTTTGCCTTTCATAGTGTGTAATTTGTTTGTTTGTTTTGTTGTTATCATTTAACTTCTTGATGATTAAATATATTTACTGTCCATGCTTATAACTCAATTTTAGTGAAAAGCATGGTAATGCTACTTTTCTTTAACAGTCTTTAAACTTGACAATCTCAGCAAGGGTTTAAAATATTCTTCACTCCAATTTTTATTGTAGCTATTTGGAAGGAGGCATGATCCTTCATTTAAATGAGAGACCCATGGGCCACAATGCTCACCTGAGTAACTTTAGCCTTGCTTAGCCTTCCAGAAGACCAAGAGATTTTTATATTCCCATGAAAAATAATAACCCCATGTTATGGCCAAACCTTATTCTAATTTAGGGATCTCTGATTCCACAAACATGGAGATTCTTCAATTTTAATATGACTAACATGGCCTTGCAATTATGTATGCATGCATTATGCAAAATTTTATCAAGATGAGATTTAAAATTTTTTCTTATATAGTAAAATTTAAAACTTCCCCTATTGTAGCTCCACGGTATCCCAGGGGCCATGATTTGAACAATTTAGAATTAACATTATAATTATTTGAAAGCTTTCACAAAAGTTTCAGCTTTCAGATTTTAAAAACATTTTCCAATATATATTCCTATTTAAAACTTGGATCCCTATTCTGTCCCCATCCTACCCCAGGGGAGGGGTCAAGATTTTAAGTATTCAGAAATCTACATTACCGGTATGTCTGGAAACTTTCACATTATATTTTTTCTGGTCCTGTGGTTCAAAAGAACATTTTCCCCCTATTTAATCCAAGCTGAAACTGTGGCCCCACCCTACCCCCGAGTATGATTATACAAAATGTGTTTATGAAACACTGATGCCCCCCGTACAATACAATACAATAATTTCTACAGCGCATTATAATTGAGACACTCTAGTGCGCTTATCATTAAAATACACATAAGCATACAAAATGAAGAACAAACTACTTAAAAAAATGCATATGCATGTGCGTAAAAAAAAAAAATAGGCTAACTAAAAGACCTTATATAAGAACATAAAATGTTATTAGTGTACTGAAAACACTGCGCGGAAGTCCCTAATATAAAATTACAACTATTGAAACGTTTATAATTTAAAAGATCCTGTACTAATGAGTTAAAAGACCTTATAACAAGTTCAATGTTCAATTCTAAGTAAATCACTAAAAATACAATATTTACATTTTGTCATAGGCAAGTTCAAAAAGGTGTGTTTAAAGACCTTTTTTAAAAGTGGAGACGGATTTGGAATGTTTAATATATAAAGGTAAAGAGTTCCAAAGTGAGGAGGCAGCGTAGTCAAATCAGCGACTGCCGTAGGTAACAGTTCTAATCTTAGGAACATCCAAAAGAAATGAATTCTGTGAACATAAAGATCTGGGAGGCGAGTATATTTTGAGAAGATCGGACAAGTAGTTTGAAGCCCGTATGGCAGCTCATGGCAAAGGTTAAAATTTCTCAAATGCAAGTAAAACTCAAAGGTCAAGAGATCAAAAATATTGGTATCCATAGAAAGGTACTGTCACAAGGAATACACCTATGATTTACGAGAACCCTAACACTAATAGTTCAAAATTTATGGCAAAGGTTTAAGATTTTCAACAGTAGATCAAATTCCAAGGTCAAAATTGTTGTTACCCCAGGGAAGGTCTTAACTCTAGGAATAGACTTGTAATATGAAAGCCCTAGCACCAACCATTCAAAACTTACGGCCAAGGTTAAGGTTTTTCAAAAGTAAGTCAAACTCCAAGGTCAAGGTCAAAAGGTCAAATATATTTGTATGCAAGGAAAGGTCTTATAATGAATGCAAACTGTTCAAAAGTTATGGCCAAGGTTAAAGTTTGGTAAAATTTTGCCAAAGTGAGTCAAACTCCAAGATCAAGGATAAAAGGTTAAAACTGTTGGCACAAAAGGGAAGGTCTTGTCACAAGAAATAGGCATATGAAGTACGAAAGCTTAAGCACTAATCGTTCAGAAGTTATGGGTAAGCGTATAGTTTTTGTGGACAGACAGACAAACAGAGCAAACACTATATGCCCCTAAATCTTTGATTACGGGGGTATAATAATGATACCTTCTCTTTAGTACTACACTACCTAGATTTGTGTCTCTATGACATCCATTTCCTTTACATGTCATAACGAGTGTCAAAAACCTGTTTAAAATGTACAAGTTGCAGGGTTGTCCCTAAGAACTGAAATAACAGGGGACATTAAAAAAGAAAAAGGGGCTCTGGGGTTCCTCCACTAACAGGGAGTTGAGGAGGAATACCAGAATAACTGGGGGATTACAGCATTTTAGACAGGGAAATTCACTAGCCCCTTGGGTCTTAGGAACAACCCTGAACTTGTATCCGAGTATCTCTGTACTTTTAATGCTGTCCTTTTTAGCACGGAGAAAAGATACACAGAAACATACTTATAAACATAATTTAATGCATTTTAAGAACAAGATATATCACTCCTCGGATCGTTTTGAGGACATTCTATTCATTCATCATGTTCTTTAACGTATAACACAACATCATCCAACTGTTCATTTTGAAAAACATTATCCTTGACAACTAAACTTTATCCAACAACTAGATAATCTCCTTTAATTTTGTGTGGAGCAACTGTAAGATTAAGGGGGGCTGGTCCCTTTCTGATACGCCCAGAGGAGTCGTAATGGGAGCCGTGGCAGGGACAATACATTCCTCCAGGGTGTGCGCCTTGGTCCTGGAGAGGGATACACCCTTAAAAAAAAATACAAAGCACATTAATAAATCAGAGAAAAATAAATATTTTTTAATCCTCACAGAAAAACTATTCCCCCCTATCTTATGAATGACATAGACATCTTTTTTTTCTAGAAGAGTTGCATCAACTTCTTTTTTTCAAATTACTTCAACATTTCTATTTTACCTAAGTGTGTACAGACTCCAATCAACACCATCCATTCGGGTCTGAGTGACCGGTCAGAGTCGTGCTGGGGGTCACGGAGGGACAGGAGGTCAACAGACTGCTCGATTTTTATCTCCTCCTCTGTTCTGTGTCTGACAAATAATGGCATCCCCTTCCAAGTTGTGAGTATGCTTGTTCCCACGGGGATATCTGTCAACTTAACTTCAGTCACTGCCATGGCCCTGGCGGCATCATTAATGTCCAGATAACCCACCAAGTCCTGTACAAGTTCCTTACCCATGTAGGCAGTGGCTGCTGTCACTCCTAATCAACCAGAATACATACATCAATTTTTCAGGTTACATAGTTCATGATTAATTCTTTAATCTACTGAGTACAGGGAAACTTTCATCCCTTTTTTATTATCTGGGTGAATTTAAAGGGGTGAAAATTGTTTGCAAGTGAGCTAGGGCAAAAAGGGAGCAAAATTAAGCCTGTATACAGTTTTCAATTTATCAACTGGTACAGTTTTTCTTTATTATGCTTAAAGTGTATTTAAATACAGAGCCTGTTACTGTAACTGTATGGTGTCACAATCAATATTTAATCCTGATTATTGTTTTATTTATGTTCATGATTTTTACGTATTTTTCCTTGTGCATTAAGGCAACACCCATCAGCCACGCAATTCTAAATTTATAGGACCCGACACAGTGCTGCAACTTATCTTATTTCTATTTCATACTGACATCGTTTTGAATGAGTAATTAATGATTGACTATTGTTGTGACAGCAAAGTGTTTCGGTGGTTTGATATCGTACTGGTGTATTAAAAATCAAAATCACGGCCCCGCCTTCCTCAGGGATCCAACCGTAATTTACGGGACCTCTTTATTCTGTTACCTGTAATGAACCTCAAATTTAGAAATTGCAGGCATTGGTCAGTTACGGCCTATTGTATTTGGAGTATTTAAATCGCTGCATTGCTGACCATGTAGCCGGGGTCCACGTTTTCGTACTTTTTACATGCTTGACGTACAATCCAAGATGTGTAGATGGGTAGTTTTTACAACGGTAACCATTTCTCCATGAGGGGTAAGTTAAATTTTCTTATTATTTAGTATTTTGTTATTGCATTAAGATTTGTTGACTTTGTAAGAAAATGGGTTAAGTAATATTTTTGTTACTGTTTACGTATACAAGTTTTGCTGAGTAGAGTTACTCATGCTGTAATGTTCTGGTTTTGTGCATGTACTAAGTTATGTACGCACGCAGTGTATTTTGTTTTTTGCCTCTTATACAGTCGGTGTCGTGGGTTTAGTTTTTAAAACCACTTGTGTTAAGAAATTGTGTATTCTTAACGCTGTCTATATATATAACAGTGTTTGGTTAGATTTACTGTTTGTATGGTGTGCCATTAGTGCAATGATAGTCAATGGTGACTAGTTTTATTTAAGGTATATGTAACCTGTGACTTAAAAATGTTTTTTAATTTAAAGGTTCCTGATATAATCCTGATAATATCTAGTCATGTGTGTGTTGGCAATGACGTTCAACAGACTGGAGACCCACTTGGAGCCAGTTGGTGGGAGTCCGTCGTGAAACGGGGCGTGTCTGGACATGGTTGTAAGCGAACACCAGGATGACGTGGATTGAAAGAGACTTTTAAGATATACATATTGTAAATTATAACTGTATAAATATGGTTTAATACCGTTCATACTGATTTTATTTATAGATAAAAAATTGTAAATAGAAAAAAAATCTTGTTGTGTCTGACTGAACAGAACACGACCATTGTTGTGACATATGGAACACCATACCCTTACATCAAGAAGAGAAAAGAGTCAATGATAGCTGTTAATACTTATAACATCATACCTCCAACTAAAGTATAGGAGAAGATCTTTCTTGTCGTATCATTCGTGTCTCTCGGGACATTGGCCTTCTGGGAGGATATTGTTCTGTATTTGGAGAAGTCCGGTTCTGGGAGGTCCGTGTGGTAACCTCTTCTTGCTGCAGATAGTAAAATAGCACTTTGTAAGGAATACTGACACGTCAATTGTGTGACATCTTTATACCTTTAAAGGTAGTTCCACCACAAGAAACATTGTCTGGTCACAAACACACCAGAGAAATTTGTGATCTATGCATAGGAAGATTGGAATTCTACACAAAATGAACAAAATATTAATCCCTTAAGAATTTTACTAATTTCAGTTAAATCAATATACAAGTAAAATTTACAACAGGAGAACTCCAACTGAGACTCATAGAGAATCCAAACCAAACCAGAGAGCTACAGATCCAAGCATTGTAAAAACCTTCAATTTACGCCACCACTTTTTTGTCGCTCACTTCAGGTATTATTTCTTTTACTTTATGCGTTCCACTGCTTCAAACATAGTATCCGATAAATTATATATTTTACTCCCATTCCTAGTGGTGTTCCAATCATCATTTATAATCGAAAATCAGTCCATTGCTAGCATAATCCAAGTGCTCGATTACAAAATTTTTACTCCGATTAATCGGGTTATTTTATTTTACAAGCGTAATAATTTTTAAGCCAAATATTCCAGCTGTGACTTGTCTATTAACTTATTTGTCTATCGTTATGGTGCAGACGAACAGACATTGTAATCATACCCGGGTAACAACGCTCATTTCTGGGTATGGACGTACTTTGAATTCAACAAAATGAACGAAGAACCAGCTGGACTAGATAGAATGTTCTATCGTTAAAATGACATTACCCTAACAACTAAGGCTTGTCCCGAGACACAGTTAGATTATTCTAACTACAGCTGGACCACCACAGGAAGTAGTTATTCACCCATTCTTACCATTTCATAAACTAAATTGACAGACTTTGTAAATGTCCGATTATCAGTGTTCAAAATTAGCGTCGGTCTGTCGGTCCTGTGCTGATGTACAAACGGAAGGACTCACAAACACTATGACTAAATGGGTCCTTGAAATAATTTTGTCCCGACGATGATTTGCCGGGAAGCAAGATAACGTCGATTGCATCTTCTCAGACCTTTCTGACAAGCTTGGAAAAACACACATTTCTTTTTTTTAACGCTTGTCGAAAGGCCCAAGAAGTTGAGTTAACAAATGTTGGTTTATGCATTTGCATTATCTGTTATATCTTTCCTGCATTTTGATTGGATATATTAAACAAATTGACCAATGAGTGTCTTTAAAAGAAAATAGATTTGAGATGGGTAAACTAGTTATTTTTATCAGATCATATCAATTCTTCTTTTCATATGCCTTTCAATTAGATACTGAAGATTCAATTTTTTCGCATTTTATAAATTTATGCTATATGTACATGGTTACAAACTTTCCGCGAAAAATTTGTCCCAGTGTACTTTAAGCACATTTAATTAACACTGTGGCTTTCTAAGAAACCTGCATAATTTTCTACCCGTGGATTTTAAGAGCTCTCTATACACTGCACACTAGGGAGTTCTGATTTTGTGGTATTTTTATGCAGAAAGAGTGATCTACCCTTTGATCAAGAATAAAATAAATTTAATGTACAGTTTATTACTTAATTTGTGATGAAATCAAGCATTCATAACACTTTAATAGGCCAAGATGAATAGATAGAACACTTCATTTCCAGGGTATTTTGCCCACTTTAGTAAACAACTGTGATATATGTTCATCAGTACTTCATTGTCTTTGAACATTTTTCCTGAGGGTAAATGCACCCTATGTTGAAAATGTGATAGATAAGCTCGATACTTACACCTTTACATACTATAATTTTCTCAATGTCCAAAAAATATTTTCCTCTAGTGATAGAGGGTCCTTAAGAACAGAAAATGTTAGCATGGTTAAATTGACATATTTTATATGAACCGATAAACTTACCGAGATCATCAATAAAAGTTTATTTTTACAAAATATTTGATGGTATTACTTTTGGGCCTATGCTCGTGTAGCCCCTTTATCTGTGGGTCCTACGCTCGTGTAGCCCCTTTATCTGTGGGGCCTACGCTCCTGTAGCCCCTTTATCTGTGGGTCCTATGCTCGTGTAGCCCCTTTATCTGTGGGTCCTACGCTCGTGTAGCCCCTTTATCTGTGGGGCCTATGCTCGTGTAGCCCCTTTATCTGTGGGGCCTACGCTCGTGTAGCCCCTTTATCTGTGGGGCCTACGCTCGTGTAGCCCCTTTATCTGTGGGGCCTACGCTCGTGTAGCCCCTTTATCTGTGGGTCCTACGCTCGTGTAGCCCCTTTATCTGTGGGTCCTATGCTCGTGTAGCCCCTTTATCTGTGGGTCCTACGCTCGTGTAGCCCCTTTATCTGTGGGTCCTTTGGACACATAGAAAATAATTCTGAATTTTGAACACTGCCGATTATAATTGATAATTAGTTAGTTACAGTAGCCCGATCATCGATTATGAAATTCTTACGGATTCCCGTCACTACCCATTCCTGACACTTTATTTACCTTTCAATGGTTCCAAACGGCCGTATGTGTGGTCTTGGAGTATTAGTTTAAAAACCATTGCATTCCGAGCTCCATGTTGGTGTAATGCTAAAATTTTACAACCGATCGGTTTTATTTATCTCATTTTTTTTTTTTTTACATATTGTTTTCTTGATAGACAAGTGAATATACATGATATTTGAACCTCCAGACATTTTTATTCACATTTTCTCGGCAAATGGATGTTCTTTAAAATCTTTTTTGGCATGACTCCCAACATGGATGTCGGGATAGGAAATTTTTTAAATGATGTACCAAGACCATAAGGCCACTTAAAACTGTTGAAAGGTAAATAAAGTATTAAGAATGGGAGTAAAATATATAATTAATTATCAGATACCATTTGTGAATTGAGGAAACACATAAAATACAAGAAATAATACCAGATGCGAGCAACAAAAAACGGCAGCATAAATCGAAGGTTTCTACAATGCTTAGATCTGTAGCTCTTTGGTTTATCTGTCCGAATTTTCTCAATCAGAGAGTTACAGTTCTGCAGCTACCGCTGGTTATAAACAAGATGTGCAGAAATGGGATTAAAATGATTGGTAGGGAAGTTGTGGAGTAAAAAATGCTATCCTATCGCTTCGCTCGCCACGCTCACTGGTATGATTTAAGCCTGTTTACCATTTATTTTTTACTTTATTGATAAAATTATTGGCTAAAGGCGGCATGTGGCACCGACTGATATATAATCATAATTCTATTAAAGTCTTTGAAATTTAAAGTTTGATGGTGGCATATAAAAATAAATACGTACACAGACAACTGACAGCGGCAACCCTTGCATTGAAAGACTGCAATTCAGGAGAACTCTTCCCTATAACTGGAATATTTGCCGTTTGAAACTTGGCTAATGGTCTTGTATTGCTTTTAGTTACCGTGTGCGAAAGTCTTGAGACGGCCGAGCCTAAAGGGGCTCTAATAGTGTTTGGAAACATCGACATTGTCGCCAAACTTGAAACTATTACGAAAACCGTCTTGGCAAGGTTAACGGATGTTGAGAGACCGTTTCTGGTAACAATCAATCTAGTTTTTCCTTTCCGGATAGAAACGGAAAATTATCATCGAAACTAAAATCTACTATTTGTCATTGCGCTTACTTATGTTATTGTCCCCCGCGTTTCTGAAAGCGAGGGGACCTTAAATCTCATTCGTCTGACTGTCACTCTGTCCGTCTGTCTGTCTGTCAGTCTGTTTGTCTCAGAAACTTTAACCTTGGTCATAACTTTTGAATGAGAAGAGAAAGGGCTTTCATATTTCACATGTATAATATATTACTTACAAGTGCTTTTCAAATATTTTATGATTTTTTACCCCTTGACCTTAATCTTGAAGTTTGACCTACTTTTCTTCTTTTCAGTCTTCTTTATCATTGGTAATAAGCAGACAAACAATTAAATTACATGATTATATTAAGCAGCTGACCCTCGATCAAAATTCTGATCCATGACCCATGGATCCAGGGTTCAGGCCCAGCTTGGCCTAAACATAAATTGAAGTTACCCCAAACAGATGGAATTCAAGCAGGAAATAGATATTTATAATTATAAGCTGTTTGCCCTTCACAAAAATTATGATAGCACCTCCCATCCCAGTCAACTGTGTCCAGGGCTCAGGTCCTGGGTTTGTAATATAAAGTTACGACCTGAAACCCATGAACATGATGAATTCTAATATATTGAACGAAATGTTCCCGATCATAATGAGCAGTTGCATGATCTCTATCAATAGATGAAATTTTTGTCCGGCTCCCCTAGGTATATAAGGGTCCGGGTCACGATTGGGACTTACATGCTCATATTGAAAATAAATGACATCTTTAAAATTCCTATTTTCATACCAAGGAATCCCTGTTAAATATTCCTTGAAGGTATTGCTGATAGATATATATAGAAATTTAAATTTTTAGAGGCAATAATTCTATAAATAATGCATATTTCCAAAAGATGAGGTTCATAGACCCCTTCGCGAAGCTTGTTCCCAGTTGATTAGGAGTAGAGCGTGTATATTTTATTTTATCTTTTTAAATTCATTTTATTTTTATTATTTTGCTTGTCAGAGTTTTTTCAGTTAATTTGAAATTTTTCTCTCCCCCCCCCTTTCAAAAACGATAACACATGCCTGACTTGGATACAATATGTTCGTCTTCCAGAGTTTCAGTTACGGGTGGGGCATGGGGCTTAGGTGTCATATCATACTCCGGCGACCATAAAGTCCATGGGTCTAAAATAACAATTTTCCGGAATTATGCGTTTCGTATTATTTTCAAAATTTTATATCGATTGATTTTACGACATTTATATAATTTCCTATCGTTAATAAAGGTCTTGAATTCAATATTACTTATTTGTTTGCATATTTTACTTGCGAATTGTTGATTCTTTAGATGATTTATAGTAGCAATACAAAATCTTAAAGTTAATAATTAATAATAAATTGCGACAATGTGTTGCATTCTGGGATATAAAAATTCAAAAATGGCTTCCGACAGTGAATCTGGAACTGAATATGAGGTAATATACTATGTTTCTTCCTTCAAAACTTTGTTAATTTTTCAAATGTTTGAGGTAATTGAACTGCACACAAAAGGAAGAAAATATCAGAATATATTTAAATGTCCTTTTTACGCATGCTTTTGCATGAACCCGATGGCGTCGGTATTAAATGCTTGATTGTTTTTAATTTGTTCTTGTCTTTCCCTTTAAATTCTATCCAAACAAATCTTTATTATCAGATAATATGTTTACTGAACTATTAGTACTAAGTTTATTAAATTTATGAATGAATAATATTCAACTTAAGTCCAATTTTTTTTACACACCTTGTCTTGAAAATGCATTCATTCTTCTCTGACAGGTTGATAAAATTCTCCAGCAAAGGAAAAGGAAGGGCGTTATTGAATATCTGATAAGATGGCAAGGCTATGGAGCAGAGCAAGATTCCTGGGAACCAGTCAAAAATTTAAAAGACTGTGTTGATAAAATCAAAGCTTTTAACGAGAGTGAAAATGATGTAGGTTTTGTTTGATCAAATTTATATGCTAGTAGAAATTTTTTTAGTTTTATCATTACAGTGCTTACGGTAGTTCCGGATCATCGGTAGTTCCGGATCACTTTTTTGTGTAATAATTCTTTTAAAAACAATTGTTGAAGAAAAATTATTATCGATATATCACATGCAAAGAATAGGGGGTATTACTACTTCCAATAAAAAAATCGAACTTTACCATGCACGATTTCGATACTTAGTTGCTTCAGAAATAAAGCGCCCCAAAGACGAAGATCGGTGTTTTGACAGTTTTACACGTGCTTTTTAAGAAGAGTTGTTCTTTTTGTTATACATAAGACGAGTAAGGAATTGATTGAACCTCGTAAAATGTTTACTTGTTATATATTCTACTTCACCACATATAAGAAACTTATATCAATTAAACCTGTATATTTAAAATAAATAAACACTGTGAACCCAACGTTACTGCAGTTCCGGATCACTTCACTCCGCAAGAAGGATCGTCTCAAACATCGTTTAATCACGTTAACTGTATTATTTTTTATGATCACTATTATGTGGTGAATACATTATCAAAATAAAATTAAAATAAAATATTTAATTTCTTTTGTTATTCAATCTCATTCCAGCACAGAATACTGACAACAAACACAGTCACGTACATGTCAGAGCTGCGTATTTTACAAGATTAGCAATGTAGAAAAATTTATTATATAATTTTCTTATGTCTTAAAGAAAAAGTAAACTCCGTAATTATCATTTTGTATATTGTTTTTTAAACCTCTGTAATCCACTGTAAATTGTTGATATTCAACTAATAAATGATTTTTTTTTTTTAAATCTTAGTTCATTAGAACTGCATGGATGCTTCGATTTATACTTCAATCTATTTTTCGGGAATCATGCATGTTTGATATTTATTTTAAATTAAATCACATTTACTTCTGTTATAATAAATTCACCAAAATATATCAGTTTTTTTATATCACCAGCTTCAAAACTTAAAATATGGCCTGGTTCGTCATGTTCGTTGGAATCTGATCAGGTGTTCGATATTAAATTAATTTAACTTTTTTTTCCCTAAAAAATGAATGATTATCACACTTTAACTGCATAATCCATATTCAAAATTATACATAATGACAAATTATTGAAATATTTCCCATAAAAAAAAAAAACAAATTGATATAACAGCGGAAATTCACTTTCTATTTCTTCATCTTTCTAATTAAGGCCTAGATAAAGAGTTTAATTTCTATTCCATTTTGTGAAAAAAATGTATGTTAAATAATTTATATTAATTTACATATATTATAATAAACCTCAACATAAAAAGCATATCAATGTATTTGGAACGAAACATTGCGACGCAAACCATATCAGCGCAAAAGAGAATCGGCGCAAACCATCATGTAGCAAACCATGCACGGGTGCGAAACATCCCGGTACTGGTAATAAGAATAGCCACTCCCCAGCTTAATTGTTTAAAATATATATCTACTACACTATATAGTATAGTAATATATATATTTTAAACAATCAAGCTGGGGAGAACCTAATGGTAATTAGCGTGATCCGCAACTGTCGTAAGTGATCGGAAACTGTCGTAATTTTAGGCGTTGAATACACTTCGGTTACTTACGAAAGCAGAGTAATAAATTAATAAATCTCATTTTATATGAAAGGTACGAGAATGGGGCTCTTAACAGTACGTAAATATTTATATTAATCTCGTTATGTATAAATGAAAACTGATCCGAAACTACCGTAAACACTGTATGTGTAAATATTTGAAGGGAAAGTAGAACTGTATTAAATTTTCCATCGTTAGTCTCCCAAAAAGAGAGGAAGAAGAAAGTCAACGTCTAGATCTAGGTCAAGGTCACGTGGAAGGTCAGCTTCAAAGAGCAGGAAGTCTCCAGGTCGCAAGAAAGCCACCCCTATCAAGCAGGAGACCCCTCTTCGTCGATCGAGCCGATCTCGTTCCAGAGGTCGTCAGCAAACTAAAGTGGAGACCATTACTGTAGGTTTGAATGATTCTTACATTGAACTATTTGTGTTTTTAATTAGAGGTCAAAAGTTCAGTATTGTGGTCAAGTTCAAGACAGAATTGAAATCATGTCTTGTTGAAGTGTAATTGACTATGATATTGTTGGTAGCCTGGTAATAAATTTTTTTGCATGCTTATGCAAGGTTTTCCATTGCCTTAACATGTATTTTATCTGTATGCTGACAGATAATTTGAAGACTGTTAAGAGCTGTCCCTATACTTTCAAATAGATGTAACCGGTTCTTGTAGAAATTAAAAAATGACTGCAAGATGGTATATAGGGTTGGATTCTTAGTATTTATTCCGTGGAGATATATAGTTGATTTCAAGATGAATTAAATGTTTTAAATTAACCCTAAAATAACAATAACAACATATAAATACATAGACAACATATAAACAAGCACATTCACTTTACAACACAAAACGATCACAATTTAAACACATTAAACATTCTTTTAAGCCATTACTTTACACTTTATATAAACGCATTCAAAGGGCGATAACTCTTCGAAACTCTTACTGAATTAATGATCTAAATTATATTTCTCTATACTGAAATATTTACAATACTTTAAAAATATGAGTTTAACATACCAGTGTATGGAACTGAGTGATTTATCTCTTGATCAGGATGACTTTAAAGAATTATTACATGATGACCTAATGGATTAATAAATTATAAAATCATAATAATTCAAACCCAGATCTTAATCCAAAGATCTACATGAATTAGATTAAAACATATAACTTGCTCTTACTTTACAATATCGATCTTAACTTTAATAACTTTAGAACTTTCACTCTAGCACATTCATACTCATTTAGCAAGTTTATATTAAAATACTTTATTATCATTCATTATCTTTAATTTTAGTTTATGATCATTAGATGTGTTTATAAAAGGTTTACTTACAGTTTATGGGTGTTTAATATACTCCAAAATATCAAATATTAAATTTTAAGCAATCACAAATCTCTAGCTACACCCTTCTCAGACAGTATCTTTGAATGGAATAATAAAACAAAGGTTTCCCACCTGAATGGACAACTTTGACCAAACAATACCAACTGACCAATAGAATGTAGGAAAACAGACAATACCCTTATTTATAAATGGACTAATCCTTATATCTACCTTTACCCATAGTCTTTGGGTTAAACCATTATTTAAATAGGGATGTTTATGATTTAAACATATAAATAAATAATATATTAGTAATGCAGGCGCAGCGCTTGTATAGATGTATGGATGAATGAATGAATGAAATTCCTGAAATAAAATATATAGCATTAATTAAAATAAATTAAAACTAAGTACAACTACCACATAGATTCATTTTGCAAGTTTTTGTTCAATATTTCCACAGTTACAATGAATTTTAAAGAGAATACACTGGTCATATATACTACAGTATCAACAAATTAACTTACACAGTACTCAAAAGCAATTACAGTTTAATACACCTATAATATTTATTTACAGAAAAGAGTAGAAGAGTTTTCTGATGATGAAGGCAGGTCCAAAACTGTGGTCACTGAAACTGTCACAAGATCTAATGCCACTGCAGCATCAAAGAAGACCCAGTGGAAGAACCCGCTGAGGACGGCTTACAAGAACCTGACCAGCTCTGATTACCCTGTGATGGTTATCTTTGCCTGTATCACACTGATCACTATCAGTTTCTTGCTGGAGCCTTATGTCAAGTAAGGCTTAAAAAATATGTGTGTTTCCAGTACCCTGACTGACCCTAATTTTACCCTCCGGCTCTACAACTTTTATTCCAAATTGGATTTTGAACCATACAAATTGGGATTCAAGTTTAATCAAATGAAGGGCTACACCCTCTTTCAAGGGGGAAATAATTTTAAATGGCATTTTTTTTTTTAAAAACCTTCTTCTCAAAAAGCACTGGGCTGAAAAAGTTGAAACAATGTGAAAGCTTCATTACTTAGTGTAGGTTCAGTTCAGATCATGACACCTGGAGGTACATCATCGGATACTCATGGGGTTATCTCATCTTCTACTTGTTACTCGTGGGTAAACTCGCTGAAATATCATTGTATGTAATTAATTTGCACGGGTCATTTGATTTCCTGCTCCACAGAGTCACGATGGTAAATCAACAAATTGAAGTTTACCTTACTTATGTATATTCGGCTGTGACAAAAACTTTTCCTTTGGTAACACACGAATTGCGAATAAATCCATTCAATGGTGCATTTTGCAGTTTGGGAAAGGCACTCCCATATAATTTCTTACTGGTACAGTGGGATCTCGTTCTTACTAGGTTCATTTTGTCATGGTAAAACATCGTAATACCGAGGGCAACGTAATAAACTTAGGTTCCCAATAAAATCCTTTAAATCATCGTTTTGAAATATAATGTCATCCCTGTATGGGGGTGTATTTTTTCCATTCTGTCTTCTTCTTCCGTTCTACCTTAAATATCTTAGTTTAAACACTTTGACACTTTAATTTATTGACAACTTATCTTGTATATGCATATTTCTTCATGCTGTTGAACTCATTTTGCTTTATTTCTAATGCAGCATTCATATTTTGTAGTAAACATCGGCTTTGTACATTCATTCCCTCCATTTTCTTTTACTTTCACTTCAATGCATACTTAGACAATGCGTTCGTAAAAATTTCACTGAAAAATTTGTATACAACAGACATGTATTACTTAAAAGACAACCCAAAACATCGTTTTTATATATTTATTTTTATTTTAATTAAGATTGATTTTAAATCAAAAAGCAAACTTTAATTCACTCAAAACAGAGTAAATGAGATTTTATTACACAAAAGCTATCAGTATATGTTGTAGTTCAATTGGCAATTAACAATCCGTGTTCCTGTTACCACTTGTGAATATTAGCCCAAACCATTATCCAAGCTGTTAAAACTGGACTAAGGGTATTTTTTTCATCAAAATAATGTTAGACACCCAAGCTGTCCATTAACACAGTGTAAAGGCCAATGCAATTAGACAGTGGGTTTAACATGCATCAACACAACTAAAAGCGACGTTTTATTTTATAAATTAGTTTTACTTGGTAACCAACCTATGAAAAAATAAAGTAAATTTACAGAAATAAATAAACTAGAAGCTATAGATATGCACACTTTAATAGTTTATCAATGTCTTTGACACAACGGCTTCACTTCTATGAACCCTGCTTGACACTTGTCAAAGTGTGATCAGTCAAGCGTCACTAATCACCTAACAGGTCTAGTAGTGAATACACGGGCATCCTGTCAGACAACAGTTGTTTCGATGTTTATTTAGCATCTCCATCGATCAATACTGAAAAAAACACGGGTGGAAATCTTTTTTGCCAAAGTATTTACATCATAATACCAAGTCCCGGCATTTTTGGACTTCGTAATAAACGGTACTATTTTGTATAGATTTGTTAAGAAATGGTTTTGTGCTTTGAATTTACGTAATAAGCATTCTATCTTATAAAACAGTCACCATAATAACAAGACTCCACTGTAATTGATGTAAGTGACCTGTACGATTTGTCTTTAATCGTTTTAAAACAAAATTTGCACCTTTTAATGAGCGTCAAGATATTAATTAAGCATAAATAGCAAACTAAAAAAGGTATTTTCAAAAAATTGAAGAGTTCCATTTTTCTGAGTGGTTGTCTATAATCAACAAATTGGCATATTTTACGACGATATTTCAGCAAGTTTGCCCACGGGTGATGAGTAAAAGAATAGATCACCTGTGGGTATCTCCGACAATGCTGGAGGTAGGGCAGGGCTACGACAGGATCAAAGTTCTACTCAGGAACATAGAGGAAATATCTTAAAAACTCTTCTTCTCAAGAAAGGAAAGCTATTATTAGTAATATTAAAACAGAAGCATCCTCGTGTGATTTAGAGTCAAGTTTTTTTTTCAAATCAAGACCCCTGGTGGTAGGGTGGGGCCACAACAGGGGATTAAAATTGTACATTGGAATATATGGGAAATATCTTTAAAAATCATCTTTTCAAGAACAGCAAAACCTTGATTAGTAATATCCTCAGGTAATGTAGATTCAGATTTGTTCAAATCATGACCCCCTGGGGTTATGGTGGGGCCACATTAAGCAATCAAAGTGTCATATGGGAATATGTAGGGAAAAAAATCTTTAGTAATCTTCTTCTCAAGAACAGCAAAGCCATGATTATTTATCTTTATATGGAAGCCAGTTTGTTCAGACAATCAGTTAGGGTTAGGGTGGGACAACTTGATATATATTTAAATTTAGTACTGAGGTGATTATTGCTTCACTCTAACCAAAGTGCTCAGGTGAGTGATGTGGCCCATGAGCTCTTGTTTTATATTATTAGGACATTAAGTTTCATAGCAACTGATATAGAACAATGTATATAGAACAATGTTAAGTTTAGTTTAAGTGAATAAAAATAGTGTTTGGCACCTTTTATCTTGTACTTTTGGGTCAGACCAGGCTCTATTAATCATATAGTAAAAATGCGTAAATTCCTAGAAAGTTTCCTAAAATAATCATGAAATTATCATTCCATGGATCTTTTACAGGGTTGAATTATACTCAGGTGACCTTTAAGGCCCATGGGCTTCTTGTTATCTTTAAGCACACAAATAAAGTATTCAAAGATAAATATTTTGTGTATGAATTTAAATAAAGTCCTAACCTTATAATTTGGATGTATTGTAGTTTGGATGGGGCCTGTGCATCCATCAGTAAGACATTGTCTTTTCTACAGAAGTATATCCAGGGACTGTGGACAAACAGCACAGGGAAATAAGTGACCTAGATCTCCACCAATCCAGGGCAGCTTAACCAATCACTGATCAATTACCATTAGCTAATGTCTTTTCTATAGCAGTTGGAGTAAGATTATGTCATTTTGCAAGAAAATATTTTAAAATGTCAGCAATTTTTATGGGTCTGAAAGACACTAAAAATGTTTTTATGTATTGTAAGAATTTGAAAAAAAAAGACTAATAGAAGTTATGATTAGATTTAGTGCTGTAGACATTTTAAGTAAAGGACTATTTTATGAATTATATTTTTATGTAACGTTACAATTTCCCATTGTTTTATACGCCGCTCACCTTCCAAGTGTCATATTTACTGGTTGTCTCCCTTGATTAACCATGTCTCCTTCAGTATTGCTTTTGTCACTGAAAAATCCCATAAAGAGATTTTATGGACATGTCATATAAATACATGTACCTCGTGTTTTAGAAATATTATAGAACAAAGAGTATTTTACATTTTATGAAGTAGTTGGTTTAATAAGCTCTCCCAATGCAGCATACGTTTTCAAAGTATGTTTTTGCATTGAGGTAGATAGGTCTCACAGCAAATATAATATCTTTAATAACTTGAAACTCATTTTTATGTCAAATGCTATGCAAGAGATCAAGGGTTGTAAAGAAAAATTTAATATCTTCACTAGCCAAGGTCTTCTCACAAACCCTTGGCCTATCATGCCATCAAAAGTCAAGATTTTTTCTTGAGCTGTATTTGGTGGTTATTGATATAGTTTGACCAATCAGTTAGTGCTACAGGAAATGACAGTATCTACGTTTGGGAGATAGGAAGAAAAAACAGGTAAATGATAACCTGGCATTCTGTAAATAGCTATGGTGTTATCCAACTTTATGTTGCTGTGCACATAATGTAATCTGGAATATATATATTGCAGATATATATTGGCATCCTGAAAAACAAAATTTGATTCTTGCTTGTTAATTATCCTTAAAATACTTAAGTTAATTCTTAAAAATGCTCTTTATTTTTGTCAATGACGCAAGCTGTGGGTATGAGGTAAGATTTGAGATCATGTGACTTAAACAATTCCGATTGATGGCACGATGAGCTGAGGTTGCAGATAAGAAACCCTTGCCTAGTGAAGATGGTTAACAGAGAACCTATTGAGAATAATGTGTTCATTATCAAAGCCAATGTATAAAGTATAGGTTATACCTAGTCTGTAAGCTATATGTATCTCAAATACTCTCAATACTTAACTTGTTTGATAATCAATATCTATTTCCGCCACTAGAAATATACCATGCAATGTAGTGGATTTTAATACTTGATACAGTGTATTGATACGTAGATTTTTTTGTAGCAAGTTTTGAAATTGCACATTTTATACATTTGGTATATATTTGTATACAGAAACACCTTATAGTTCAAATCATCTGTTATTAACAGATCAAGATTCATTTTATTTTTTTGAAATGAAGCAATTCATAAATAGTCAAAAATTGGCATTCCTGGATACCTTTGTTATAATGCAAATTGTAACAGAATCACAAAATGTAAGATGTTCTATCAATTGATAATGATTCAACATAAGCAGACCACAAAAAAATTACTTGTACATGTATTACATATTGCATTTTATATCTTGCATTGATTTTGATGCAAAAATAAGAAGAAAAAATGTAAAAATTAGTTTATTTACATTTTGTGTCTTTATTACATTTTGTGTTGTGACATAACTGGTAGCGAGGCTTGTTTGTGTGGTGTACGAATTCTTTTATACTGATATAAGAGAAAGTTCATTGCGTTACCCTCGTAAGCTTCAGGACCCTCAGGATGTTTTTACGTCTTTTTATTCATGCGAATTTGTAAATAAAACATAAGTGTAGCCATCATAAAAGGTTTTGTTGTTTTTTTTTTTATAGTGAAACAGTACTTTTAAAGGGGACAGAAGAAAAAATTTTGGGCATTAAACAAAGGCTTTTTTTGGTCGGTAGTGATATGAAATATTTTTATATCTTTAGAGAAAATCAGAAAGGCAAATTGTTGACCAAATCCTTGTCTTAGCTTTTGGATGTAGATCACATCAAAAGACTCCATTGCAGTGGGAGCAGAGAGATTTTCATGAAATGAATAACAGAAAGTGTTTTGTTCTATTGCTATAAGTATTTTAAATGCTATAATTGTATAATTCAGACTAAAAGTTACCTTAATGGTAACAGTAACCTTGACCTTCAAAGGTCAAAGGGATAAGACTGGCCACCTATGCAAGTACAGCTATTTGAAGAATTATGTCATGAGCTTGATAAGGCATGGAATGTTTGGTGAAGACACAAATATCTAATCAAGCTAAATATCAGCCAAGATTACCGCACTTAAGAGTTTGTTTTACATACAAAGCAGACATGGGCAATACAAAATATGGTCAAAGAGAATATTGTAAATGCAGTGTGAAAATTTTCCACAATTAAAGGAGATGGGCGAACATAGCGTGCAGAAAGTCTATAGCTTCAGAAATATAAAAATCATGTTCAGTTTGTGAATTTAATATTTAGAGTGAAGTTCTCATTATTGAAATTTATGTAATTGTGATAAACAAAACTTTTCTGAGGAAAATTTTCTCGGCAAAATTTCTTCTTTTATTAAAAAAATTAAAGTGGTGTTCGTGAGGTTCGAACCCCAGCAATAAAAATCCTGAGAATCATTTTCTTTCGAGACTAACACGCTAACCACTAGACAACACAAGTCCTGACGAACAGTGGCATTTAAATCATGTTTGTGATATGACCCTTGACTTAATGGACTTAAGTATTTCTCGAAAAGATGCGAATGTTATGTCATAAAAGTATATTTTTAAGGTATAGTGGGTCATTGCTCCATATTTTTGGTAAGCAAAAAATGTATATTTTTATGCAAACTTTGAGGATTAACTTTCAAAAAGGTGGAGCGAAGACCCACTCATATCGAAAAATAGTGTTATAGTACGCGAAAATGACTCGCCCGCTTTAGTGTGTGCCTAATATTTCACAGGCAAATAATATCAAACTTTGAGGGATTTTTGCAAATTGTAGAGATTTTACATAAAGTATATTTTAATGATAGACGAAATATCAAGGGAAATTTTGATATAATAGAAATTTAATTTTTCATCTTCATGTTTGTCACACTATAGGCTTATCGCTCGTCATGTTCACCCATCTCCTTGAATATCAAACATCATGCCAAGCAGGAAAGACTTCTTTTGATCATACTTGCAGATTTTGCATACGGAGATACCGCCAGATAGTACTTCCTAAATCAATAGACGCCAGAAGAGCGTGGAACCTTTGATTTCCATTTGGTGACGCTCCCCGAAGTTTTGCTGATTTTGTGTATAACCGCCGTGCTTTCTCTTGGTTGGGTTGCGTCATTACCAGTAGGCTTTGCTTCTGTATGTTAAATACTTTTATCTGTTTATCACATTTTCTTTTCCTGGTATGTAACTTAAGAAATCCTAAGTAAAGATAATTAATAAACGTTTACGATGCAGGGTGATTGAAATTATAATAATTCAAATATTTTTTTTTTTTACATATATATGCACGCAAACTATAATGACATATTATTTTTTTTTAAATATAGACATTTCTTTTTTATAAATTGGGGAAAAGTGCATGAAGGCTTCTATCTTCTATTAATCATTTTAGCATGCCAAGTGCATTTCTATAATGATCTCTTCTCTCCGACGTTTTAATAATAATTAAGGTACTTATTTAAAACAACTAGCAATATACCCCCAGTGTATTATATCTCACAGTGAGGAGTCTGTCGCTATCTGATACATCGGCCTCATCAGAAGTACATTAACCTGGTCTCTTAACACACGTGTGAAATTTGGCGGGTTTGTGTCACAGTGTTAGCTATCCGGGAGATGCTGCGCAATTCTCAACACGAGGTCAAGTGACCTTTATTTTGGAATTTCTTCGACATGCCATATAGTTGAAAAGGAATTTTTGATTATTTTCCTTTCCTATATAGAATTTTCGCTTTAGAAAATTCCAAGCTGGAAAACTGTGACATACTTTATCCTAAGGAGCATTGTAAGTAACCATAATTTAATACTCGGTCGCAATATATACACGTAATTTTTTGCAGGATCTCGATACAAAAATTTAGAAACTTCGTATTCCTTTTCCCTTACAATTTTTAGTTTATTTTGGTCAATGTTTAATTGATACCACTGATCGTGATGTAAAGGATACAAGTATTTCCCCGTGTATATCGGCCCAACATACGGGGTGTATATGCTATGTTGTGCACGGGATGTATAATGTCGAAGCGATCGAAAGGGGGTCGATTATGTTTTTTGTCCAGTTTCTCAATTTATGGATATATTTCGCCGGAAAGCATATGCATTGTTCTGGGAGTATATGGATACCTTTCATATCCTTTGAATCCAATTTGGGTCCAACAGGTTGCATACACCCCGGGCACAACATTGATTTTTCGTCAATATCTTTATATACGAACTGCTCTATTTACAGACAATTTATACATACATTTATATAAGTAACGTATTAAATAGCAATATAAAAGTGATGATAAAGCAAAGCTTTGTTCTGATATTTGATCATAAACGAAATGTACATGTATATAGCGTCAATCTTACTCTGATATCCTCGGAATTGCGTTGAAGTGTTTCACGAAACTAGAAAGTGTACAATGGATTCAATGGTATCCATATACTCCTAAAATAAGGGGTAAATAAGTAATTGACAAGCTAAAAAAAGTGCCTGAAAAATTTGATTAGAGAAAAAAAAAAAGAATACGAAAAAAAAAAACACCAACAGCAAAACAAAACAAAAACCAAAGAAAGAGACCCCCCCCCCCCCCTAAAAATCAAAACAAAGGTGAAAACTTCCCCAAACTGGAAAGCGGCCTTTCAATGAAATGAAAATTTCGATACTAAATTAACGACAAGAGTTTATTCTAAAAAAAAAGGATAGCGTTTAATTAATTGTTATTAATTGTGGCGTTTAATTGTGAATTTGCATAGGAATTTTAGGCATCAGTTTTGGTGCAGAGAGGTCACAATTTTTGTAAACAATTAACAAGTATAATGTTATAAAATTATTTTGATTGTATACAAAATGCTAAACATCGTTGTGAAAGAAAAATATGTATACAAAATGCTAAACATCGTTGTGAAAGAAAAATAGAAAAATATTCGCCCATGTAGGGACTCGAACCCTAGACCCTCAGATTAAAAGTCTGATGCTCTACCGACTGAGCTACACGGGCCCTTATTCAAAGTAAGGTAATAATTTAATCAGTCCTTTTCAATTGTATTATGATTCCTCGGAACATCTCTAGACGCCTTCGGAAACTCTATTTGGTTTTCACTTTCGTTTCAGTTCGAATATGCATCCACAAATAATATCGATATTGCTGAGTGAGTTTCACCCTACTACAGGGCCTATGGTGAAATATCAAGTAAGACTTCCTTGTTAGTATTTGGATTGAAATACGTACTTAACAATGCTTAAGATAGTATCAAGTGACAAGTGACAAGGATGCTGAAAACTTCAGTATTTGAAAATGTTTGATCATGATCAGGTCCAGCACAATCTCTTGATTTAGCTATATAGCTTGAAAAAGCTATATAGCTTTATTAAGCTATTCAGAATAGCTTGATAAAGCTATTTTATCACACTTTTTTCTTAAATGTGTTATTTTCTCAGCATGCACAAAAAGTCGCACCTTGGTGCAGTGATAATATTCAACCTTGAACTTTTCTGAAAATAATGCATGTAAAAATCACTCATCAAATTACGTCTCCTTAAGAGACTTTGTACTCAAAGTTCTAAAAGTTTTGGGGCTATATAAAGCAATTGATACAGTTACTTCTTCATTGAAATTAAAAAAGAGGCCAATTATGGTCAACAAGATAATTGATTGGTAATAATTCAGTACAATGAGAAGCAATCATACTTATCCACACCTCAACGCACACAAGGTGGTCTACAGTTACTCAAACAATGGAAATTCATCTTTTGCTTAAAAGTATTCAAATGCTGCAATGTTAGAACCATCTTTGAATTAGGTTGTTGTTTTGATAGCCCATAGTACATATATGAATAGTCAATTACTTGCGACTTTTTGTCTATTTCTTACAAAACACATTTTTCTGAAAAACTGCACATAAATAGCTTTATCAAGCTATTTTGAATAGGTTAATAAAGCTATATAGCTTTTTCAAGCTATATAGCTAAATCAAGAGATTGTCCTGGACCTGATGATTATGGATGGTCATGTCAGCTGGTCAGGCATCATCTTAGTCATTAATTGCCTCAAATTTTTTTTTTAATTTTGTACGAAGTTATGATTACAGATGAGCTTATCTCAAAAAAAGACGTATTATGTTATCTCGAAAAAACTTCCAATTATCCCCTATCAAGTCCAGTACAATAAGTACATTTAGCTACGTAGCTAAAATTACCTACCGTAGCTTTATTTACCTACCTCAGATAGCTTTATTTAGCTATTTCAAGGCAACTTTTCACAATTTTGCTTTTTATTTTAAAAAGACAAAAAGTTGCAAGAAAATGTCTACTAATATTTATTCTAGGTATCATTTAAAAAGCAATCAAAAGCAGAGATAGTTTTAACATTGCTGCGTTTGATCACTTTTAAGGAAAATATGTATTCCCATTGTTTGAGTAACTGTATGCACCTTGTGCGCGATGAGGCGTGGATAAGTATGATAACTTCACATTGTGCTCATGTTAACCAAAACTGGTTTTCTTTGTTATTACACTCAAGAAGTAACTATTAGGTCACAAATTACTGTTGTATGTAGCCCCAAAACTTTTAGAACTTTGATTGCAATTGTGCAAAAAAAGACACATCTCCAAGAGTGATTTTTTCATGAATTTTTTCAGATGAGTTCAAAGTTGAAAATTATCACTGCATCAAAGTGCAATTTTCTGCACTTTCTGGGAAAAATTCTTCTTTAAGAAATAAGTTTTAGTAAGTTCATAAAACTACTCCAGGTAGGTAAATAAAGCTATGTAGGTAATTCAAGCTACATAGCTAAATCTAGTGATTGTACCAGACCTGCCTATTACCCAAACTCCGTCACCATAAGCGGAAAACACAACAGGTTACTCTCTCAATTATTTTTTTATTTGTTTCTTGTTTGCTACACTTAGTAATGAACTTAAATTGTTTTCAGAACAATTTTAAATAGTTCAGTAATTGGGCTTATACAATACTACTATAAATAGAACGCATATCACATTCATGTACATTACATCCCATGAACCCTAACTCAGTCACCAGGGCCCTCTACAATATGTCAACGTATTAAGTAGAAATTTTTTTCCAATTTAGTTTTTTCTCCCTACATCTTAAACTTGTAAACATAAAAAAATTAGTTTTAACGATTTAAAATAGTATTAAATTGTATATTAGGAAAAGTAACAACAACACAAAAAATAACCTTAATATAACGTATTTTATATGTAATAACTTCACGCTACGTTATCTTCAATGTGTAGCATATTAGGGCAAATTGAGATGAAAAATAAAATAATTTTAGCCGTATTCAATATGGTATGTCATATTAATCCTTTGGCAAAGACCTTAATTCATAAATATGACTGACATGTAAAATTGAGGATATTAATGCACATGTCGGAGGTGTTGATGGAATAGCACATAAGGGAAAAAGTATGTACTGATTTCACATAAAATATGATAGATACAATATGTCATGTGTAATTGTTATTTATTTTTGACGCATTCTTGAACTTGACTGTTATAGTATCTCGACATTTGATTGTAGATTTTCAGCATGTAAAATATGATGTCACAATCGCATTCGTTTACAAAGAGTGTAAATTTTCCCGAAAGTGACGGAGTTAGGGGGTTTGATATACAAGTTTGCAATGTATCATAATTGTTATTTAGACAATTTACGTTTACCAGTATTTACATTTAGATTTTTGGCCGGGTGGGGGGGGGGGGGGGTTCCAGAAATGTCAGTAAAACTGGGTATTATCAGATAAAATAGGATTGGGGGATGCCTTGAGGCCATCAGTGGGTTGGGAGCGGGTGGTTCCGATTATGTGTTCGACCTGCTTGGTTATGACCCAAGTGTTTTTGTCCCGATTATATATAAACCAAACAGGTGTATACACAGGCGCCTGAGAGTGTGGATTGATAGCTCCCTCCCCCCCCCCCCCCCCCCCCACACACACACACACACACACTTTAAATAACAAAAAATTGTAAAAGCTTATAATTTCTCAAAAATATAAAATTTCCACGTCAGTCACATCCATATGTCGTTCTATGCATGCAGATTGTACTTAAGGAATGTTTTTAAGTTTTGTGTGAGTTATTGGTGTGTAAATCACACAGACTTGTCACGTAGGCATATTTCATGAAGCGTGCTAGCGCTTCATGAAAAATATGCCTACGTGCAAGTCTGTGTGATTTACACACCAATAATTCACACTGAACTTAAAAACATTCCTTATATTTACATTTTACAAGTTTAAAAGCACCGATAATATACTCAATATTTGAATTTCTTGCTGCCCTATATCGTTGAATTTTTATTTACGTCTCTGTAGCCTCATTGTGACGTCACTTTAGCGCGAGTTTCACCATGTATATTTCTACGCATGAGTATACACAAAAATGACTTTCAAATCAATTTCACAGTTGACTTAGTAGAAAAACACAGCAATGTAAATACAGTAAAACTTGTTGAATCCGGATGTTGTGCATTCCGGCATGTTGTTCAGTCCGGCGTAATATTTTAGTCCCTTGAATTTTCTTTATAATTTATGTTTAATAAATGTTGTGCAGTCCGGATCGTGCCTATTCTGTAAACCGGCCGCTATTTAAAGAACTTACTGCTCATAATTAGTACAAATTATCTCCTCTAATCTGGCCACCTATTTTCACCTGTGCCCGCTGGTCATTAGAGAAGTCTCGTGTGGGGTAATCATTGTCCTGTTAATGATCTATCCTGTATCGACAGTTTAGATTTTAACAAACGTGATGAAAAAAATTATTAATGGCTCAAGTAAGGCGAGGAAACTCGCAAAAGAATGAGTGATATTTATGGTTGCGTGTAGCATGTCTGTAGAAAAACTTAGAGACTTATTCATGACCTCCTTTCTACTTTTGTTTTGCGTGCACGACGTGCAATTCGAATTACTTCCCTTGTGTCGCTAGTTTACAACGACCAAAGCGACAGAAGATTTTGGTTCAATATTCATTACATGTATAACATTTGAAATTAACAAATACAGTGTCTAAATATTCAAACATATTAATTTTAAAAGAAAGAAATTAATTAGGAATCTGTCCCTAACAAAATAATATTTACAGCTACGATAAGGTTTTTGAGTGTATTTAAAACATTTAACGATTTTCAAATTTGATAAATGACCAAGAGATATTATATTTCGATACTGAATAAAAAACTTAAACAGAAATGAAAATTCTGATGAACAAACAGAGTTCAAAACAAATGGAAATAGACGATTTTTTCAAGTGAAACGTAAAAAATGACACATTTGATAAAGTATTTATTTACCACTCTTTGTTTATATCTATGTAATTTTTAACTTGCTATAACGGTTCAATTTTCTCCAATCCGGATGTTGCCTAATTCAGCTAAAAATTTTGGAACCACTGGTCGCTGGATTAGACAAGTTTTACTGTATTTTTTCTTACATTTAGAGAATGGCCTTGTATGGTATAATACAAATACACAAGGTAAAAATCAAAATTTGTTAACAAATGCGAGGTTGAACGTTCCCTGCTTTGAGACAGTCACATATTTCCAAGGTAATAACAGTGTTACCTATCATAATTTGTCAGGGAGATGTTCTTTTACTAGTTTCTTTAACCTAAACCCCATCATTAGTGTTTTATATTCTGTAATCAGACAGTTTATAAATTGTATACATAACAAGGGACTTTACTTAGTGTTCCTTACACAAAAAAAAAATAACAGTTTAAGCTTAAGAAATTATGAAATGATAATCTCTCACTAAAACTATTACAGTTCTGCTACACTTACATTTTGCAGGTTCCAAAAGAAATCATATCCAAAGCTCATTTTGACGTAATACATAATTACATCATTCCCAAGCCGGAATTTCAAGGCCGTCTTATCACGGTGTAAGTTTTAGCACCCATAAAGAAATAGGTCAATTATTTAAGTTTTAAATAACTTTTTTTTTTTCTGTAAGGCACTTTAAAATGGTTCAAGTAATCATGATAATTTAACCATGTTTCATTAACTTGAAAAACTTGAAAGATAGTCATGCACTTATATAAATTTTGAGATTTTAGGAAAAGTTTTGCTCACATGTCCTAGAAATTCAGTAATTTATGTGTACTTTTTGGAGAGAGATAAAATCAGAGCTCAACTGGTCCAAGAAAATTTCTAGAAAGGTACTAAAAATTAAGGGACATTTTCTGCAGAATAAAAATTCTGAAGTTTTTATTTATCATTTGTTTCCTGTTGTTTCAGAAATGCTTTGGGATATAAAATTGTGGGCTGTCCTGTGTCCATTGATGACACAAAGTACCAGAGGAATGCTCTGATGTTTAACCTTTGTTTTGTGTTCGATCAAAATGTGGACACCAGCAACCATGAGCCAGTGGTCAAGAAACTGGCCTTGTATCTCACACAGATTGAGGTTTGTAGCTTGTGGTCAATAAAATGAATGACCTTTTCTTAATGCAGGTTGAGGATAGTTGCTAGTGGTCAAGAAATTGGCCTTGTATTTTATGCAAATAAAGATACTACATTTAGTAGCTCTTGGTAAAAGAAAAGTCATAGTCATTGTATGGTAAATTTTAGTTGTACTGGTCAGAGAACAGAAGAGCTTATGCACTGGTAAGGTGTCTGTCCTCAGTTTTTGGTCTGATTAGACTTTTTACACGAGTATATGAAGATACATTTTTCTTAAGTACACATCAATAGAGCTACGAAATTTTAAAACCTTTCAAAATTCTACTCATCCTACAGTTTTGGCTTGATTTCAATGAAACTTAGTACAAAATAAGTAAACACCAAGGTACATAATTCTGTAGATATAAAAAAAGGTTTCTTAAATTTAGTTTCAATTTTCCTCTTCCACTATAAGTACAAACCAGTAAAGCTACTGTCTCATCAGAGTTTTCTGGTTTTGTATCGTTTCCTTACTTTTTCAGTTGGAGAGTGGGTTTTTGTCAAAAGAGAAAAGCCAGGAACAAATTCCAGTCTTCATGGAGAAGGTTCTGCATCTCCTGAATAAGTATGGCTTCTGTCGAATTCCAGTGGGTAAGTCACTAAACAGTCAATAGTGTAAGTCTATTGGTAACCTCCATCATTAGGCAGAGTCCTTTTTTTTGGCATAAATTGCATTAGGGAAGAGAGGCTTTTGTTAAGGAGGGTGTAAATTTTGTAGATCAATTAGTTTCATTTACAGGTCATAATTATGGAATGAAAAATGCCGGAAAGTTTTATGAAGGACAAGGTCACAAGAACAAGTCTAAGTTCACATGGGCTTGGTGGTACAGGGATCGACATTAACGGTTGTCCGATTGCCCGGGACAAGTAAATCTTCATTTCGGGCAAGTGAAACTGTCAACGTACTTGTCCGATCGGGCAAGTGAATTTTTCTCATAGAAATGTACATATTTAGTCAGTTTACATTAATTTATGAATAAAACAATAATAAATTAAATACTTGATTTCCGCCAGATACCTGCATGACTGTCATTGATTTACATTAGGAAATCCTGGTAGCGTTTCTAGAATATACCGTTACGGACCATTTAAAAATCGGGTTCATTATTCTGTTTTCTTTCGTGATAAATACGCTCTACTTATAACAAATTTGTTAACTTCTAATTAGGAAATTCATTCACAGAATATAAGTAACACGATGTATCCCAATCCAGATATGTATGTTTCATAGCAATTGTCTTCCTTTACTGTTGCTTGTTATCTCTGAAAATCACGATTCACAAAAGGATTCTACGGAAATTAATTTTTAAAAATATGAAGTTTATTAAAAGAAAACGGAGGGATAATGCTGCATGGCAGTGTGTTAACATATTAAATTGACAAGGACAGTGATACACATGTACAAACGAAGCATCGAAATTACTTTTTTATGTAGCTCAACTTGCCAAGTTGACAGTAGTGTATTTGGTCACATTTTTTCTTCTCAGTTTATAGTAATAAATAATATTTTTCTTCCCTAATTTTGGGCAACCAAGTTTTGCATTCGGACAAGTCCAAGTCTGAGATCACTTGCCCAAAGGACAAGTGAATCTAAAAGTTAATGTCTATCCCTGTGGTATAAAAAGAAACAACAGAGATTGAAAAAACTATTTGATAAGTAGCTTATTTTGCAGACCATTGCACATGTCTGAAGAATCATAAATGTAGTATTTTCCTTGGAAGGTTATTATATTTATATGAGTGTGTCTACTGTTTTCTGATTCAGGAGAGTCCATTACTGTCCACTTGAAGGTTACTGTGAATATTGCTGAGCCTCCTCCTGTACTGGACCATGATGTCCCCATCCTGATCAGAGATAAGGGGAGACCACAACATGCATGGGATCTCACCACACAGCAGGTAACTTAGCAATGGGATTGCACCTTACAGAAGGTAACTGAAGAATGGGATCACACCTTACAGAAGGTGACTGAAGAATGGGATCTTACCACACAGCAGGTAACTTAACAATGGGATCTAACCACACAGCAGGTAACTGAAGAATGGGATTTCACCTCACAGAAGGTAACTCAGCAATGGGATCTCACCACACAGCAAATAATTGAAGAATAGGATCTCACCACACATGGTTATCTCAGCAATGGGATCTCACCACACGGCAGGTAACTGAAAAATGGGATCTCTCCTCACAGCAGGTAACTGAAAAATGGGATCTCAACTCACAGCAGGTAACTCAGCAATGAGATCTCACCACACAGCAGGTAACTGAAAAATGGGATCTCACCTCACAGCAGGTAACTGAAAACTGGGATCTCACCACACAGCAGGTAACTGAAGAATGGGATCTCACCTCACAGCAGGTAACTGAAAAATGGGATCTCACCTCACAGCAGGTAACTGAAGAATGGAATCTCACCACACAGCAGGTTACTAAAGAATGGGATCTCAACTCGCATCAGGTAACTGAAGAATGGGATCTCACCACACAGAAGGTAACTGAAAAATGGGATCTCACCACACAGCAGGTAACTGAAAAATGGGATCTCACCTCACAGCAGGTAACTGAAGAATGGAATCTCACCACACAGCTGGTAACTGAAAAATGGGATCTCACCTCACAGCAGGTAACTGAAGAATGGGATCTCAACTCGCATCAAGTAACTGAAGAATGGGATCTCACCACACAGAAGGTAACTGAAAAATGGGATCTCACCAAACAGCAGGTAACTAAAGAATGGGATCTCAACTAGGATCAGGTAAGTGAAGAATGGGATCTCACCACACAGCAGGTAACTGAAAAATGGGATCTCAACTCACATCAGGTAACTCAGCAATGAGATCTCACCACACAGCAGGTAAATAAAGTATGGGATCTCAATTCACAGCAGATAACTGAAGAATGGGATCTCAACTCACAGAAGGTCACTTAAGAATGGGATTTCAACACACAGAAGGTAACGGAAGAATGGGATCTCAACTCACAGAAGGTAACTCTGCAATTAAATATTACCCACATTTACTCTGCAATGAGATCTTACCCTGCATCAGGTAAGTCAGCAATGAGATCTCACCCTGCATCAGGTAACTCAGAAATAGGATCTCAATGTACAGCAGGTATCTCAGCAATGGGATCTCACCACACAGCTGGTAACTTAGCAATAGTATCTCACCACACAGCAGGTATCTCAGCAATGGGATCTAACTACACAGCGGGTATCTCAGCAATGGGATCTAACTACACAGCAGTTATGTCAGCAATGGGATCTCACCACACAGCAGGTATCTCAGCAATGGGATCTCATTACACAGCCAGTAACTTAGCACACAGATCTCACTACACAGCTGGTAACTTAGCAGTGGGATCTCACCACACAGCTAGTAACTTAGCAATGGGAACTCGACACACAGCTGGTAACTTAGCAATGGGATCTCACCACATAACAGGTATCTCAGCAATGTGATCTCACTACACAGCAGGTATATTAGCAATGGGATCTCATTACACACCAGGTATCTCAGCAATGGGATCTCACTTCACAGTGGGTAACTTATCACTGGGATCTCACCACACAAGGTATCTCAGCAATGGGATCTAACTACACAGCAGGTATCTCAGCAATGGGATCTAACTACACAGCAGTTATGTCAGCAATGGGATCTTACCACACAGCAGGTATCTCAGCAATGGGATCTCACTACACAGCCGGTAACTTAGCACTGGGATTTCACTACACAGCTGGTAACTTAGCAATGGGATCTCACCACACAGCTAGTAAATTAGCAATGGGAACTTTACACAAAGCTGGTAACTTAGCAATTGGATCTAACCACCCAGCAGGTATCTCAGCAATGGGATCTCATTTTACAGCAGGTATCTCAGCAATGGGATCTCATTACACACCAGGTACTCAGCAATGGGATCTCACTACACAGCGGGTAACTTAGCACTGGAATCTCACCACACAGCAGGTATCTCAGCAATGTGATCTCACTTCACAGCAGGTATCTCAGCAATGGGATCTCATTACACACCAGGTATCTCAACAATGGGATCTCACTACACAGCTGGTAACTCAGCAATGGGATCTCACCACACAGCTGGTAACTTAGCAAAGGGATCTCACCACACAGCAGGTATCTCAGCAATTGGATCTCACCACACAACAGTTATCTCAGCAATGGGATCTCACCACACAGCAGGTATCTCAGCACAAAACATCCTGAAGGGTCACTGGTAGGAGAGAGATTTTTTTCATTTATGAAAACAATTATATGTTTTATTTGAATGATGTCCATTCTACTTGTAAAGCTGGTAAATTTAAAGCAAGTCCACAATTCTTCTGTAAGGTGAATTACAAAACAACTCAAATGGAATGAGATATGGCATTAATACACTCCTGCAAACATCATTTGAAAAAAATTAAATGCCAGTATATTATTTGGGTATATACATTTGGTATTTTGAGGTTGATTCATTAAAATTTAATACAGTTGTGGACTTTACAAGGTTTCTTTGAGTAACAGTAATAAAAAATATAAATTTCCTGTAGGGACAATTTTAAAAGCAAGAAACCTTAGATTATACTCCATAATAGGTAGCTATTGACCAGAGATGGGTCTTACCTTGCACCAAGGGAATTTGGATAAGGTTAAGGTCACAGGGTACAAACATATAAAATCATTATTCTAGCCACAACTTTGAAATGGAATAACAGAGGCTAATGCTTGAGACACATTTGCTTGTGAGATGGGTGTGCCCTGACCCTAACCCAGGATATTTTGAACAAGTTCCAGAAGCGTAAAATTCCTGCCTTTGCTGTAACTTTGAAGTGGAGAGAAATAGGATATTTTACTTTGCCGGATGGTTGCTGTGAGCAGCAAACTTTGAATGACCCTGCAACAAGGTCATTTGGACAAGGTCAAGATACTGGGTTGGAGGTCAAAATTCTTGCCTTTTCCCCAACTTTGAAGTGGTAGAAACAGTAGAAAAATGTCTTTACTTTTCACTTTATCCTGGTTTTTTGAGTCAGGTTTAATAAAATACAAGGATTTTAGTCAAACAAAATCAGAAAACAAATATAATCAGGAGTAAGATAATGTCTCAAACTTTGTCATCTGGTCACATGTTTTTGGTTCACAGGTTCTGCCCTACATTGATGGATTTCATCCAACTTGTCGGATAGCAGTTGAAGCGGATGTGGAAATCAATCTAGTGAAGTCTTGTCTACAAAATCTCCTGTGAGTATTATAACCAGTAATCACTCGGCATTAGAGTCCTACATTTCCTTGCTTTCTGTTAATTGTCAATTAATAATTGTGTAAAATTTCTTTTTCTTTCTTGTACATTTCAGATATTACAATATAATTAAGATAATACCAGTTTTTCAGGTGAGGTGACTTTGTAGATAGTATTTACATTTAATGATTTTGTGAATACCAAATACTTATTCTTTTCATGACTTTTGCTTCTACATTAAACATTGTTCCAATTATCATTAAAAAAAATAGATCAAACAATATCTTAGAAATCACGGACTTTCTGTTTATTGATGACTTGATGTTTCATTGTTCTTTAACATGTGTATCTTGACATTTGACATTATTTTAGTTGATGAGTCGGTTTTTCATTACGCTACTTTTACACCATGACTATAGACATTAATCTGGTTGATCTCTGGGTATTTCAGTATTCTAACATGTATACCATGACGTCGGACATTAATTTGGTTGATCTCTGGGTATTTCAGTATTCTAACATGTACACCGTGACGTCGGACATTAATTTGGTTGATCTCTGGGTATTTCAGTATTCTAACATGTATAGCGTGACGTCGGACATTAATCTGGTTGATCTCTGGGTATTTCAGTATTCTAACGTACACCGTGACGTCGGACATTAATTTGGTTGATCTCTGGGTATTTGAGTATTCTAACATGTATACCATGACGTCGGACATTAATTTGGTTGATCTCTGGGTATTTCAGTATTCTAACATGTATACCTTGACGTCGGACATTAATTTGGTTGATCTCTGGGTATTTCAGTATTCTAACGTACACCGTGACATCGGACATTAATTTGGTTGATCTCTGGGTATTTCAGTATTCTAACATGTATACCATGACGTCGGACATTAATTTGGTTGATCTCTGGGTATTTCAGTATTCTAACATGTATAGAGTGACATCAGACATTAATTTGGTTGATCTCTGGGTATTTCAGTATTCTAACATGTACACCGTGATGTCGGACATTAATTTGGTTGATCTCTGGGTATTTCAGTATTCTAACATGTATACCGTGACGTCGGACATTAATTTGGTTGATCTCTGGGTATTTCAGTATTCTAACATGTACACCGTGACGTCAGACATTAAAAAGCTGTTTTCTGATGCACATCTTCAAGACCAGTGTATGCATTTTATTGCAATTAAAGGTATGTTTAGATCATTCCATACTAAAAGGATGTCATCTGTTTAACTGTAAGTCCATTAATTGTTTGAGCCTGTAATTCAATCCCAAACTTCTTTCTTTAAGTACATCTATTCAAATTACATTTGTAAAACCTTCATCACCTGAATTATAATTTATACAGTTAAACTCAGTTATAGTTAAGTCCTGGGGACAAGCGAATTTACTTTGCTGTATCCTTAATTTGTTATATCTCTATAAGGAATTTGTTAAAGTATATTTAGTGAATTCGCAAATAGATTTTTTTCCTTCACATATGACTACCAAATGTATTTAGGGAAGTATTCAAAACAAAAGTTGTGCTGGAGTTCAAAAGTTTTCAGATGAATTGAAATAAAAATACTTGCAAAAATACATGAACTGTACAGAAGCCTTGAAAATACTGGAACTTAGGTGAAAATACTGAACATTGCCCATTGTAATATCAGTTCAATATTTTAAAAATTGAGATGTTTGAAAATTTGCTATAAAAGATGTAAATTTTATTATTTTTAACCTGTAGGAGACACAAAATCAGTTTGCTATATCCATAAATTCGCTATATCCGAGTTTGTTATATCCTTAGAATTTTTTACAAGGAATAGTTAAGAATTTCACCAGGGATTAAAAAAAAAAAACTTGGCTACATCCGTAAAGAACGAGGGCGCTTTTGATTGGCATTTGGCGGGAATCTGAGCGCACTTGAAAAGTGAAAATTTCATTGATCTGTCACATGAAATTTTAGCATTCTTTTGATGTATCGGGTTCCTGTGAAATAGGAAAGGGACATATTTTCCGGATATTGTATTTTCATTTGCTAAAAAAGAACTTGAAAATTGGCTAGATGAGTCCTTTGGTACAAAATGTTACATTTTTAAACACGTTTTTCTAAAAAATTGCTATCTCTGGGTCATCTCTCCATGATTTTGAAACATTATTTGGGTGCATTTTAATTCAAAGAAATTAACAAACATTTGTAAAAACTGGAGAGGAGACCCAGAGACGATAAAAAATTAACTTTTTCCAAAAAAAAAAAATTTATATTTATATATACATCATACCTATATGTGATATAGAGCCATAACTCCAATATATACAAAGCTGAACACAGCTGTACTCTATTCAGTGATCTGTGTATGAATAATATAAATATAACTGTACTATATTACACACTTATTCTCACAGATCTAAAATATACTTATTACTCTGAATATTTACAAAGTCATAAAATAATCACACAAACTGAACTTTCATACTTTATATTAGAATATTATTATTTGGGAATTTAGCAGATAAACAATTATATAGAAATAATGAAATCAGTAAAAGTAAACTTACATTCTGTCCTGTCTTGGTCATTGTCATAAATCAGTCAACATACACAAATAAATATGAAGAAACCAATATGTCTGCTCAGACCAAGATCTCAAACAAAAGTAATTAACTAAGTAAAAACCAAAAGAGAGGGAAACTAACCAACCAATCAAATCCAAGTTGGCCTGGGCACTACACAAGATATAAATAGAAAAGGGGGTTTAAATGACCACTGTGATGTCATACATCTATAAATAACTCAATAAACACAGATTGATGCAAATAAAGCCATGTGGATTTATTCAATAAATGAAATGCTGTAAAGAAATAAATATGATAATTTAACTGAATTAATTTAATCCTGAAATATAATAATTAATATATGAAATAAATCACCCTATCACAATACTAAACAAGTTTTACAGATGTTGTTGGCAGGCACTCCACTATTGTGACATAAGATAGCCTTGTCTTGTTTTGTAAGCTTCCTTAATATTAAGAATATTGTCTTATTATCCTTACCATACTGTGCACTTTTATGAAAACTTCACCAAATAAGTTAGATTCATAAATGCTGCTATAATTACAGGTCACACGTTACCCCTGCTGCGGGACATTCTGACCCTGTACACCAGTATGACACATGGTGTAACTGTCCGTGATCTCTGCTGTCGATATAATCCACATGGACTCAAAATTGATGAAAAGTAAGTATGCTATACCAAGTTTCTCTACTACAAGTGATCTAGTACTAACATGATCTTGAATTAACTATATGAAAAGTTAATTCAGTTTGATGTGTTAAAAACTCATTTTCCTAGATTTTAAGCAAGTACATGTAGTATTCCCTCACCTCAACCAAAGCTAAAAGAGCTTTACTGATCAAAGTTTAGCAACAGTATTGCCATTTGCAGTAAATTTTACCCTTTCCATATACTGGTAGATAGAAATTTGTACGAAAATTTCAAAAATTACCATAAGAATGTGGAGGCTGCAATTTGTCTTATTAATACTGAAAGCCATTTTCATTCTGAAAACTACTAAAACACTGAAAGCCATAGCTATGTTTAGTATGTTTAAACACTGGCCTCCAAGGATGAGATGTGGCTAGCATAGCAGTCCAAATTTTCAAGGAAATTGCTTTTTATAATCTTCTTTTCAATGACAAGAAAGATACAGTTTGCCAGATAAATGATTTTAAATGAGATTACGGTAAGTTAAGATCGTATGGTTAGGAAATGGTCAATAATTTTGCATAGCTATATATCAGAACTCTTTGAAAAAAAATGCATAAAAATGAATCATCCTCTGTGCTTTTGGATATCTTGCAAAAAAGTTGTGAGCATTTGTAGTTATTAATTTCTTTTTTCAACCTCAACTATGGAGGAAGTTGATCCAGTTTGGAGTGGTGAAAAATCTAATACGTGTGCTGAGGAAATTCCCCATTCTAGTCCCCACCAATGCCGAACCTGACCCCCGACTGAGGTCTCTGTATCCTATGTTTGATGGACTTCACTGTTATGATGAAATATGCTGTAAAGTTGGTAAGCACCATTGCTCTCTGAACTGTGATACGGTTGTGATACAGTTGTCTCTCTCTGTTACTGAGCTTGAAGTAGCTATATATAGGGATGATACAAAGTTACATTGATACGTGTGTGTTGCAGGCATAAGTCAAGCAGATCTGGAGGAGAGGATAGAGAATGATCCTCATGTGACAGTGTGTGTAAAGTGAGGAGTGTCTCTAATCCTGTCTGGATAAAGTGGTAAGTCTCCATATCTAGACTCGGTAAAATGATAAGTATTCTTAAGTAAGTCACTTCATCTGTGACTCAGTAAAATCAGGAGTCTTCTTTTGAAATCAGTGGTAAAAAATTTACTTCTCTTTTTATTATTTGGATGAAGAAAATAAAGTTAATAACAAGAGATCCATGAGCCTCGATAGTCACCTGAGTATCATGAGTTTCTCAGACTTTTTTGTCCAAACTGGAACTTGAACTCTGGTTTCATGTGACAAAAATACACAATGTATACAGTTTGGTGAGGACAGGGACATGAACAATTGGACGATTGGTATAGATGGCTAAGTGTTTATTTTACAAATCATGCACATGGTTTGTCTGGTGGATATCAATGAGTATAGAAGATTTTTTTTGTTTAAAACTGTAATGTATTTTCAATATTTGACTTACCAAGCCCCACCCTGGGGTTTGCATGCTAGATTTAGGGATCATGATTGAGTGAATGTTTAGTGTATTCCAGATAGTCAATATAAACTGACAAGCACCTTGTTACTGAAAGCTCAGATGAGATTTTCTGATCAAAATTTGTCAGTTGTCTGTCATCATCATCTTTTTAGCTCTTCTGAACCAAAGGTTCAGAGCTAATGCTATGGCCATTTGTGTGGTGTGCGTAAACTTTTTAGAATAAGGGCCATAACTCAAGAACCCCTTGGCCAGTTATTGTCAAATTTGTCACAGGGTATCCTTGGCCCAAGGGCTCCCGTTTATACTAAAACTAGGATTGTGACCCTTAAATAAGGGGAGATAATTAGGAAAATAGAAACAAAAGTACTGGTTGCTAAAATATCTTCTTCTCAAGAACCACTGGGCAGATTATCACCAAACTTACACAAAAGGATGAGGATATGTTGTAGATTAAAATTAAAAAGGGATTTACCCTGGGGCAAAGGGCATGGTCTCAAGGTCACTTCAAAGTTGACCAAAAATTACATTTTATTAAAATATTGATATTTTGCTTACTGTAATGACTAGGATTATCAAATCTTGACAGTTGATGCATCTAAGGACATCATATCATGTTGACTCAAAAGTAGGTCACGGTGACCTACTTTTTAAATTTTGCGGCCATTCTTTTTCAAAATGATTTAGAGGCTTATTTTGAACAATTTAAGGCCTATGATCATCAAACCTTGTCAGTTGATGTATCTTGGGTCCTCCGAGTACGTCGACTAAAAAATAGGTCACCTTGACCTACTCTTTGAATTTTATGGCTAATCTTTTTCAAAACAATTAAGGTCATTAATTCAAAAACTGAGAGGTTAAGAATCATTAAATCTTGTAAGATGATGCATCTTGGGGCCATAAAACATATTTATTAAAAGTAGGTCACAGTAACCTACTTTTTGAATTTTGCAGACATTCGATTTCAAAGCGTTTTAGAGACGTTTTGGACAATTTAAGGCCTATGATCCTTAAACTTTGTAAGTTGATGCATCTTGGGTCCTTAAAAAACGTCAATGAAAAAGTAGGTCACCGTGATCTACTTTTCAATTTATATGACTATAAATAAATATTTCAGGTAGTAATTGGCTTAGAATCATCAAATTTGTCAGTTGATGCATCTTGGGTCTTCGTAGTAGGTCGACTGAAAAGTAGGTCACCATGACCTACTTTTGAAAATTTATGGCTTTAATTAAATATTTCGGGTACTAATTGGCTTAGAATCATCAAACTTTGTCAGTTGATGCATCTTGGGTCCTCGGAGTACAACAACTGAAAAGTAGGTCACCGTGACCTATTTTTGAAAATTTATGGCTTTAATTAAAAATTTCAGGCACTAATTGGCTTAGAATCATCAAACTTTGTCAGTTGATGCATCTTGGGTCCGCAGAGTTAGTTGACTGAAAAGGAGGTCACTGTGAACTATTTTTGAAATTTTATGGCTTTATTTAAATACATCAGGTACTTATTGGCTTAGAATCATCAAACTTTGTCAGTTGATGCATCTTGAGTCCTCAAAGTATGTCATTTGAAAAGTAGGTCACTGTGACCTACTTTTAAAATTTTATGGTTTTAATTTTAAAAATATTTTAGGTATTAATTGGCTTAGAATCATCAAAGTTAGTTGATGCATCTTTGGTCCTCAGAGAATGACAAGTGATAAGTAGGTCACCATGACCAACTCTAAGGTACTAATTGGCTTAGAATCATCTTGGGTTCTCAAGAGTGTTTCTTCTAAAATGTAGGTCATGATGACCTACCTTTGGAATTCCAAGGCTTTATCTAAATATACATGATACCTAAAGGCTTCAAATAGAAGTGATAGGTTGTACAGTTTATCAGAAGAGCGATTCAAGGCCCTTGGGCATGTTGTTACAATTTCATCTTTTTCTCCAGAACCACTTGGCCAATTTCAACCAAACTTGGCACAGAGTATCCTTGGGTGAAGGGCATTTAGGTTTGTTCAAATGAAGGGCCACACCCTCTTCCAAGGGGAAATAATTAAGAGAAAGTGAAATTGGGTAGAGTCATTTTTTTCTTCTCGAGATCCACTGGGCCAGAAAAGATGTAACTTAAATGAAAGCTTCCTGAAATAGTGTAGATTCCAGTTTGTTTAATCATGACCTCCCAGGGATAGGGTGGGGACACACGGCAATCAAAGTTTTACTTCAAAAAAATATGTAGAAATCTTTGAATATCTTCTTCTCAGGAACAGCAAAGCCATGATTGGTCATATTCAGATGGAAGCATCCTCAGGTAATGTAGATTCAAGTTTGTTCAAATCATGACCCTGGGGGTAGATTGGGGCCACAACAGGCAATCAAATTTTTATGTATGAATTTATAGAAAATTTTTTTTCAAAATCTTATTTTCAGGAACAGCAAGACCATGATTAGTTGTATTAATACAGAAGCATCCTCAGGTAGTGTAGATTCAAGTTTGTTCAAACCATGACCCCAGGGGTAGGGTGGGACCACAATAGATCAGGCATTTACATAAAAATATATAGGAAAAATTCTTTCAAAGTCTAAAGATATGATAAGTCAAAGAAATATGGAAGCATCCTTAATTAGTGTAGATTCAAGTTTGCTCAAGTCCTCCCCCACCCTTTGGGAGACAGTTAAATATTTTAACTTTTCAATTTCCTAGCCAGTGTGCTCAGGTGAGTGATGTGGTCATGGGCCTCTTGTTAATTTTCATGAAGGACATCATTTTATTTACTGAGACTGACTTGCTGAATTCTGTCTTCCAGATCTGCATGAACAATGCTACAAAACAAACCAAATGAATTAAAATCCAGAAACACTTGCTCCATTCAACAGCTACAGGCAATGCAGATACCGTATTAGACTGTACTTAAAGAAGAATATAAAGTAGAATCCAATATGGCAGTCAGCAACAGACTGTGAAAATAAGACAGCTATTTATTGAAATAGATTGGGAGACATGAATTGAACTCAAAGACTAAGTAATGGACAGTGTGATGCTCTGAATGCTTCAGGTGTTCAGATTCTCACTTGATGAATGCTTCAGGTGTCCAGGTTCTTACTTGATGAATGCTTCAGGTGTTCAGGTTTTCATTTGATGAATGCTTCAGGTGTTCAGGTTCTCACTTGATGAATGCTTCAGGTGTTCAGGTTCTCATTTGATGAATGCTTCAGGTGTTCAGGTTCTTACTTGATGAATGCTTCAGGTGTTCAGGTTCTCACTTGATGAATGCTTCAGGTGTTCAGGTTCTCACTTGATAAATACTTCAGGTGTTCAGGTTCTCACTTGAGGAATGCTTCATGTGTTCAGGTTCTTACTTGATGAATGCAGGATTATAAATAAAAATACTTACTGTATTAACATTTATTAAATTTGTTAATAATAAAGTGTTCAGCATTTTTATGCTTGCGTTGTTTTTGTTTCCTTAACATCTCTACTTGGATGAATTTAGTTATGATTTTCTTAGTATGGTGTCTTCCACCTATTCTCATGAATATAACCTATTCCCACATGCAAATAACAATAGATGAATTAATAGTTCATTTGTTTTTAAAGCAATTATGCTAATTACATCCCACCTTAAATTTACCAGTACTTTGAACAGTTAAATGCACTTTAAGACAAAAAATACATTTAAAAAAAATTAAGAACAATATGATTTAAGTTTATTGATTTTCTTATAATAAAAAGATTAAAGGTTTTTTTTTCACTTAATTTGCTTAAAATTAAGAATATGTCTGTTTTAATCTAATCATTTTAGTCTGATTTTGAAAAAGTTATTTTTTACATCAAACTGAAAGAATAAGGTAGGAAATATTAAGATAATCTGAACCCTACATAAATGAGAGCTTATGCATTGTATTTTTTAACATAAAAAAATAATGTTACATTTATTAATTACATTTACTAGTATTTGTTTCTTTTTCTTTCAATTATTAATAAAAAATCAGATTTACATTTAAAAAAAATATATAGCCAATTTACCTACCTTCCATCCCAGCAGGAGTTAATTTGTTGTTTAACGTCCCTCTCGAGAATTTTTCATTCATATGGAGACGTACACCACCACTTGCAATTGCCGGTGGAGAGCTGCAAATTTATACCTATACTTGGCAATCAGGGCCATTGAGCAGTGAGGGATCTTTGTGCCAACACCTACTGCGACACGGGGCCTCGGTTTATATGATCTTAACAGGAGTTAAATGCTGTTTATACAATAACTACATGTACTTGATTTTTTAGAAGTGGGAATAGGTGGAATTAACCCTTAGTATAACTGTAAAATTAAATATTTTACCTTTGTATAAGGAGGGTCAATGTTGTTCTTTTTACCTTTCTATAGAAAAAAAATCTGTCTAGAATTTTCTAGGATTTAAAAGCATAATACCCCAATATTTTACTTTTGAGTCACATAATTGACTACCTATTTTTCATCTGTCATCCACATTTTTTAACATTTTAAACTTCTTTTCTGTAACAGCTGTACCATTTACTATCACAGGTGCTTGGGTACGGGATCCCCCCCCCCCCTTCGTGTTCCGTACCCCAAAAGTTCTTTCTTAAAGGTTTGATACAAAGTATCGCTTCACGCATTGTTTTGAAAAATAAATATTTCATGCGTAAAAGATAATAATCACGCAAATAGTTACAAATGTAAATGTAAGTTATTAGGTATCATTTTAAAATATCTATCGGGTATAAACGTGGTAACTCGGCTTTATATTTAATCCATTCCCGAAAAGTATAATGTAGCTTTCAAACAAAAGAGTAATGTCAAAAGTGGAATGTAAATGCTAGTAACATATCCTGAAGGATTCTCATTACTGACGTAAAAAAGCGTCAGACGACTTTAGAATACCCTGTATATGTTTATTCACCAATCAAGAGCACTCAGGGGGCATATACAATTACATATAAATAATATTAAAGTATATTGTAATATGAAAGAATATAAATCATATCTATCTTGAAGGTACAAATGAAAGATGTACAATACCACGAGTAGGATACCATGAGCCAGGTGGATTACAATCGATGCTGTCCCTTGATTGGTTAGAACAATTTGCGCTAAATCGTGGATTTTTGAGCCGTTGCCGTTAACCACGGAAATAAATATTGACGTCACAATGATCGATGCATTGCATCGACGGCGTATACAAAATACGACGTCACAATGAACTTCTACACTGGATGCGTAGCTAAATACGTAGTCTTGTCCCATGATCCCTTGCACTTCGTTATTGTAACGAAGTGCAAGGGATCATGGGACAAGACTACTAAATACGACGTCACAATGGGCTCAGATTCAGGGCAGATTCGCCGCATTGTAGACTAGTCCACCTGGCCGTAGTGTCGCGGAGTATACGAGGCATAACAGGGACAGGGAACCAGGCTAACAGAGGGGTATCTACATTGTATATGGGATGTTTACGCCTTGCTCTATGTATTTTTTTTCAAAACCCCAGTTCCATAACCCCCCCCCCACTTAAGTGTCTACATAACTTTATATGGGCTGGTATTATCTTGCAGTCATTTCACGTCTGCCATACGATAGACTAAAGTAGAGGATGATTTGAAAAAGGTTGAGTTCGAATCTTGGCTTATAGTCTGTTCTACGGTACCAACATCATCGCTTGTATAATATTACTTATCACTTCTATTAAAAGATGACCTTCTCTCTCTCCCCCCCCCCCCCGGTAGAAAAAACGGACTCCTGGTAAAATAGTATTGAAATATAATACATACATCTTTCATGGCCGTAGGAACCGGGGGGGGGGGGGGGGCACGGGGGGCCGTGCCCCCCCCCCCCCCCCCAGTAATTTTGCCGATATATAGATTACTAGTACTATAGAAAACATAGCTACTATATGCTTGTGCCCCCTCAATAAAAACGTGATGACTTTTTTTTTTGCTTGTCAAGGAATTTTGGTTGATAGTGCCCTCTTAACTGAAAATGTATGGTTGTGCCCCCCCCCCCCCCCAACTGAAATTGCTTCCTACGGGCCTGTCTTTCCATTACGTACTTTACTGCACTTTTTTGAAAACTGAAAATCCAAAGGCCGGGGTCCAGACCCTCTGGATAGCACTTGTGTGTATGATTTCCTGTAAAACAGGATATCTTGATATCCTCATTTATCCACGAATTCGGCTTTTATTTATTTGTTTCTTTATTTAATTCTTCTTATTATTTTTTGGGCTTGTCAAAAAAATCCGAGTTGGACATTTTTATTTTTTTTATTGGGTATGGACCCCACCCCCTGAAAAAAAAAATCCTGGATCCGCGCATGCCAAAATTTCCTTAGACTTCGAAAATGGTGTCATATTTTATGTATTAAATCTTGTTAAAGGTTCTGGATATCATGAAACTTTAAATGTTTAATAATATAGTCTGAGAAAAAAAGTCAAAATTTTATTTAAAACATGATGTGGTGAAAACGCTCATGTGGGACGGAATTTTGGTAGTCTCTGTCAGACACTGGGCATTAGAGGTGAAACTTGCGTGATTATTTTGAAGTTTTCGTAACATCCCACCCCCTTACCCCACAAGAGAAAATGACAAAAACAGTGGAAGTAAAAGTGAAGGTCAATGATAAGAGTGACTGGGAAGATAGAATAACCCAGATTTTCTCGGCCCGAAGACCGCCCCTTTTACCTTCAAATTATCATTGTGAGTGAATTTAATATAAAGTACAGTTCGTTGTATTCTCCTAAAAAAGGAGCTCAAGTAATTGAATGGTAGTCACGCTAACAACAAATATTTCTTAAGAAAAGCCTCTTTTTTCTAGTTTGTTGAGATAGTCGTTTCATTTGCTAATTAAAAATTAAAGTTGTTAAAGTAATTTTTGTAAAAATTTTAGATGATTGATTTTTTTTATTTAAAATACAACAAAAACTGATATAAGTTGTCAAAACTTTAAAACGAAAGTACATTCTATAAAGGTAATGATCAGCTGAAAGTGTAGCCTCCCTTTGGTCGTCGATGTACATAGTATGTCGAACGAAACAGTATTAAGTGAGCAATTAGTGAGTCGTTATCTTTTATTATAACGTTTATTTCTTTTTTATTTTTTTTTTCTTCTTTTAAGACCCTTAATTTTGAAATACAGTCTTTGAAGAGCATTAGAATATGGTAAAAAGAATCTATGGCTGATGAAGGCAGCACTCCACAGAAATGGACTCATATCAACATTGAGTGAGTTTATACTCTATAACTGAGTATCCCTCCCCCCTCTCTCTTTGTGTGTATGTGGAGAACGAGGATGAACTACATCTTTTGATAAGGAGAAAGCGTTTATTATCTACCTGTCAGTTTGACCTGAGAAAACTGCGCAATACGGTATATTTTAAAGGCACAGTATTTAACCTTAGAGATATCAAGTCTTTTTAAAAGGTGCTATGGGAAAGTATAATTTATCTATAAAGTATTAAAGTAGCTTAAGTAGAATAGCGGTATAGAGAAGACAAAAGTAACACTGAATAAATTTAGAGATCAAAATTTGAGTCTAAAATTGACCGAACTCTCGCTGTGTTGCGGAACGTCATACGTTTGTTAATATTTTGTTCTTCTCTACAACATGGATTTTACAAATTAATTAAACAATCACGTCCAAGATTTTATTCACTATAACAAAGAGAAAAGTTGGGGTAAAGGGCACAAATTTTGCCGCATCTTCATAGAATCACGTTCCTTAGTGCATGTGATGTATAATGTAGTTTGGATTACTGTTCATATATATACAATATACGTATTACGATACAAACAGTGGAGGTGCTGTAAATCGATACGGACGTGAAATTATATTGTATTAAACTTTGGAATAGCATTGTAGGTGTGCATTAATTCCCTGGTTTTATGGATAAATTAAATCAGCTGTGAAAAAAAAATGTAATCTTTAAAAAAATATAATTCTATGCAGATTTTTGATCCTTTGAAGTTGTCAGCATTGGTCGCTTGAAGTCTTTCATCAAAACAGCCAATTGAGTTCTTTTAAGTGTTCTAAGGTTTCTACTGTCATGACCGATTGTTTAAATCCCGTAATTGCTTGAACGATTTACTCCGTTTAGCGAATACTTTTAAAAATCAGTGTCTCATTTAGGCTCAACTCCTGGAATTGGAGAAAATGCATTGGTTTTGTGTGCCGTCATGGTCATTAAAATATGCCATAATGGGGGGGGGGGGAGGGAGGGAGGAGATAAGTAGCTTAAGCATAAAATTCAATAAATCCGACCCATCCATACCTGATCATATTTTGAAGCAGAAAAGGCATATTTTAGAGGGTAACCTCCTATACCTTTATCTGAGGTCATTAAGTACTATAGATAAGAATATCTGGGGGCCGAAAATCTGCATAAATAGCTATATAGCTCACCAAAGGATGACTGCACTTATGGACATAAATAGC